TAGTTAAATAGGCGCTTTACAGTAAAACTGGCAAATTATCGCGAAGAGGGCGCTATCTACCGGAGTGAAAAACTTGCGTCTTCACACTTTACATACATTACGCATTACGGTCAAAGAAAGAGCGGACAGCATGAAATTGCAATTAAACAGTGAGTGACGGCACTTCACTCACTGTTTAATTGCAATTTGTATTAATGTACATTGTATGGTATGCAGCATGCAGGCATAATGCATTTCATAAAAATCTGGCGACCCCTAGTTTGCGCACCACTGGCCTAGGCGATCAGCACAGCTGACGCCCCGTATAGACTAAACATATTAAAAAAATCCGAAAGTTTTCAAATTTTATATTACGCTCAAATGTTTTTTTTTAACGTTTTGTGTGTTACCTTTATTTATTAAAAATCATAGTCTTCGCGCTTAATCCGTAAAATTCAATTCAACAGCAGCATCACAAAGTAATTTACAAAGAGCATATATTTAGAATTTACGATACACAGTCTCGCATACTGGAGATAAAAAATGTTCTTTTTTTCGTACAGTGCTGCCATTGCCGATTTGAAATTGTTAAATTTCTTAATCAAAAATTCGTTAAAGTTTTACAAAATATGGAATTGATAATAAAATAAATTCCAAATTTGGATGCCCATATTCGGGTGGAGACATACGTTATTCAAAATTTAATTGCTCTAGATAGCGTTGTTTTATCACAATGCGAGAAACATACATACATTTATGCAGATTCTTCATTATTTATTTTCTTTAAATATAATACAGGGCGATAATATTTGGTGGCAACAATTTGAAAAGTGAAACGCCGTTTATTGTGAAAAGCCACAAAATGCCAAAACGAAATTAAAAGCCCTTCTGGGCTAACGCCCTTTGGGCTAATTATTCAGAGCAAAATATACCTTTATTTATTGGGGCTTGTGAGATACCTTAGCTGTCTATGTCATCTAAGTTCGAAGCCCTGTATAGTATAAGAAAGAATGCATGTAAACGTGAAAGCAGTGATAAAAACTATTTTTTTCATACATTTACTATTTAAACTTGATAGATGTACTGCGTATAACATATTTTAAAAATGCTGCCTCTTGAATTTTAGAATGCCATTTTAAATTCTTTTATCAAATGCAGTGAGTGATACGTGGAGAAATTATCCGGTAAACGAAGATAGTAAACAGGATCATTTTGCAAAATAATCAGATGATCATTTAAGTGTTATAAATAAGATTCTGTAAGTTATGTTAGATTTAATTTTTGGCACTGAAATAAAACAATATAATTGATTCGTAAGCTACAGCTAGCTGCCTTTTATGAGTGGTGCTAAAAAATTGTTTCTTTTTTCTTCCCATCATTATAACATCAAGTATTTACTGTCCCTTTCCATGACAGTCCCGACATGAGCACAAATACGCATGCGCAGTCATAATGTCGCAGTGTCGTTACCAAACAGAATGGACTGATTTCTTACCCTAAGATACACACATCTAAACAACAGGAACAAAAGTGACTCCAGTTGCATAGGCCCACCAGCGGCCGAGCGGGTCCCTGAAGACTGGTAGTTCGGTCGAGGATCGAATCCCTCGAACTTGCTGGCTGCATAGGTGCTTTCGTGGTTTTCCCCCATGTGTAACGTGTTAATACGAGCCAGTTTCCCTTATAAAGTTCTCCACGAAGGCATCCCTCACTTCCGTGTAGTGCCTTAGGGCGAAACACGTAAATAATAATAATATAGCAGTTGCATAGAATATCGCTATAGCAATAATATACTGCAGCGGTGCCCAACCTTGTGCTCGCCGATCGTTTTGTATGTGCTCACCAGCCCGATTAGGTACTATGAACAAAAAATATTTAAAAAATAACCATTCGTTTATATTTTTTAATTGTTAAAATATGATAAGCATTTATAGTCAGAGATATCTTGCAAGACGTTATAAAATAATTGATTGCTGACTGATGAACTTGATAGCGAACATGGAATCTTGTTGCTTCATTCCGATGTTAGACGGCTCAGGGGAAAAGTACTTCAACGATTTGAACAACTTTCGCCAATAAAGCAGTTTCTGGAATTCGGAAAAGAAAGTTATAAAGAATTGGAAGATAAATAATTGGTTATCCGATCTGTATTTTCTCACGGATCTAACAGCTAAACTGAACGAAGATCTCCAGGGAAAAGAAAAAACCCTTTCTCAATTGACTGGGACTGTAACTGCTTTTCAGATAAAGTTAAATTTGTATATAAATCAGATGAAAGAAACAAATCTCAGCCACTTTCAGAATTTATCAAGCCATATTAATAACCATAAGGCAACTGAAACAAAGAAATACTCGGAAAACCTAAATACACTGAAAAATAATTTTGAACCAATATTATTATTCATCTCAAACCATTTGCCGAAATTAATATTTCAGATGTATCGCATAAGACTGGAAATATGTTTAACAAATATGTTGATGTTTTGGAAATGTGCTCACGATAGGCCAAAGGTTGGGCACCACTGGTATACTGTATCTGAGTCAACCAACTGAAATGGGCTCTTAAATCTCTCTAATATTGTCTGGCTTACACTTCTCATACTAGGCCCTCTGGGGGTCGACGCAAAGAACTCTGCGAAGCTACTGGCTAGGATCTGTACCTAGGCAGTCTCGGCCACTGGGGTATAAACTTTATGAACTTGGTGGTTCGGAAGGCCTTGGGAAAGGTCACTTATTGGCCGGCCTCGGGGTCTGGCATGTTCTGAGCGGTGTGGAACCGTAGCCGGGGGGGGCTTGTTTCCAACGGTTTGCTGGGTAACGGCCCACTGTCACCAGCATGCCCATGCGACTGGCAGGAACAATTGACGACCAGTGCTGCCTGGTGTCGTATCCAGGTTGTGCGCTGCTTCCCTGGAAGGGTAATAGTGGAAGTTGAACCTCCACGAAGTGACCAAAGGAGAAGTGTAGACCCGCAATGTGATTTAGTTCATGAGGCAGGGCAGCCAAGAACTTACTTACTTACTTCCCATACTAGGCGGTACTATGTGCTAACGAATAAACGAGTAATGCGATGTAATACTATAACAGTGCCAACGAGGATCGTATTGTACAAACTTAAGTAATATCGTGCATTTTTTAAGTTAATTTAAATGTTTAAGAATGAATATACAAAGACAAGATAGCACTTTTCTCATAATCAAATGATCATTATGCGGTAAGAGTAAGTAAGAGTTCAGTGTAAGAGTCCACAACTGAAAGCTATCATGACATACCGCTGTTCATCTAGAAATAAATTTAAAAAAAATTTTTTTTATTATGACTGTATGAAAACAAAGTACGCTATACGTACCTGAGGAGGATTTTGTCTAAGTCTCTTAAGTACAAGATTCCTCTTTTTATCGCCTTACTTCACTTGAATTATACAGCCAGTTCAAAGCCTCCAGCGGTCTTGAAGCGAAACAGCTGAGGACAAGGAGTTCGACCCGAGCTTGAATTCCTACAAATGAGCTAGCCTACGTGAGGGTTTTTGTGGTTTCTTTTTCTTAAATGTATGACGAGAATACGAGTCAAAAAGTGTTCTCTTAAAAGTGTTCCTCGAAGGCATCCATCCCCTTAAGCAAGTAGCCCTCACATGCTTTGCCATAATCTGAATAATCCAATCCAATACATGGATCCCAAGGGTGGCACGAAAACCAATGCGGCCATAATGGACGGAAGAATTTTAAAGGCAGCAAAAAACATAGCCCTGGGCTTGCGCTTTCCCCTTCCTGAGCGACAATTTTTATGTCTATTAAGTGGCAAAAGAGGCAGCAAATGGTACTATAACAGCATTAACCTATTTAACAAATCCAATATCACTTTTAAAATCGAGACTTCACTATAAAATAAAGACTTGATTTCTCAATGGAAACTCATGTGGTCACAAGATAATACGGGCAGACGAACTTTTATGTTTCTATCAAAACCAACACGAAATTTAGTTACAACAAATAATGCAATAACATATCTTCTAACAGCACATGTATCCTTTATTTCATATCTTTTTCGTTTCGCCTTATGTCATACAGACAACTACATAGGTGGATCAACAGGAACAATAGATCATTACCTGTTTGAATGTGCAATCACTAAAGACCTCCACTTTCGTCCTTTCACAAGTGAAAATGCCCAAGGATATTTCAAACAACTACTCAGAAGTAAATCTCTCCGCAAAAAACTTCATAATTTAATGGAATATCTCATAGAAAATTGCGATAATCTAAAGGCAGCATAAATTAAGGCATCACAATTCCACATCAGTATTATTTCGACGTAATTAGCATCACTTCAAGGCAGCACAAGTTCAATCAACAAATATGAAACTTACTTCAGACTTAACTTTAAAATTTATCAGAGCTTTAGCAGAACTTACTTCAGACTAACTATTAACTTCAACAGATAAATAAACTTTAACAGACTTATGAACTGTTAACTTTTATGAATAGTGAACTATTTATGAATTATAAACTATTTATCAACTATGAACTATTATTACATTTCAACAAATCATCAAAATCCTATTTTATTTATTATGTATATAACCAAAATTTTTGTATCTAAATCTTTATTCGTATTCTATATTATGCATTCTATATTCTATGTAAGTACCATCAAAATTTCTGTTAATATTTATATGAATTCTGTCAATGTATATCAAGTATATGTCAAAATTATGTATACATCAAATCAAAATTTTTATTGTAATATAAAATTTTAAATAAATGTAGTCCCACTGAGTGAGCAATAAAGCTGAAAGTCTTCCTGCCGGCACAGCTGCTCACCGAGTGGTCTCCTGTCTACTAAGTGGTGCGCGAGAGATTTTAAAACATCTTTTAATACCGCTTAAAGGAGGGAAGAAGGTAGAAACAAACGAGTAATCTATAAAGGCTGCGAACATCAATACATTTTTTTTTTTAAAGTTAGATTTATGCTGAATGTTCTTTGGTTGCATTCTGGACTGATACTTAATTTTGTGTTTTTAGGTTATAGCTCCTTGGCGACTATCGGAATTTTATGAACGCTTTCCTGGACGTCAAGAACTGATCCAGTATGCTAAAGTAAGCCTAAAATATATTTGATAAGATTATTTAAAATATGTTTTATTTTATTTGTAAAAAAAATTAAAAACGAAGAAAATACTGATCAAAAACGCCCCCTCTTCCATAGAAAATTGAAGAAAATTTAAAAGTTTAAAAATTATTTAATGAAGAAAATTTAAAAATTCTATTATTAAAACATCTATTCTAATAAAATTAAGAAAGTTTAAAAATTCTTTTGAAATATCCTTTGCTAAAATAACGGCCCCTTTTAAAAGAAAAAGGCGGATTTAATAAAAAGAAATTTTAAGCGTTGCTGAGTTAACCTGTAATAACATTTCAGGTTAACAGGAAAATACGTAAAAAAGAACTTGCGTATTTGTAGCCATTAAGAAATCTCTGCAAAACGTTTCATTAAAAGTCATTTATCATAGGATTACTTAGAAATGCACTTGCAAATGTAGTAATGAAAAACCTTATTATCATATTATACAGTCTAGTTACTTCCTTGCAATATATACTATTGTATGAGCTATATATACTACTGTATGAGTAGTAGTGCATATGGAGAGAGTAGTATGAAGTGAGCTATTTATCTTGCTATCATTGGTAATTTATCTCAGATATAGAACTTAAATAATTTTCAACAATGCAAAGAAATTACACAACATATAATAAAACCTACTAAAGTATTTATTAAAATTTTCAAATAGTAGACAATAACAAAACTGAGTTACAGCTCGGAATCCCACAGCGTACGCCTAAAATGCTAATTACAGCATGTAAAGCGAATTTCTAGTACTCAGTTATAACGTGTTTCTGCTGTTAAATATACGAACTCAAATTCTGTCTCTTCAGACACTTTTATTTTTCTTGAAATGATTTACATTACTTTTGGCCCTTTTTTTTTTCTGCTGTTATCACAATTATGAGTATATGTTTACGGCCGCCTAGACGGTATAGTAGTTAGGGGAGCCGAATGCAATACCAAAGGGCCCGGGCTCTAATCCCAGATAAGGCATGCTTGTAACTGTCCATAGACCTTCTCTTCATAAATTTTGTAACTGTACTGGTTGTAACTGTCCTTCTCTTCAAAGGAGGCAAAAGTAGTCCTCTATAATAAAGTAATCAACACTTCTAGCCTTAGTTGTGGCCAAGCCAAACTCGGCTGAGGGCCCACCATTGGTTAAAAAAAAGTATATGTTTATGCAATGTCTATTGTTTATCATCATGTTTTGCCCACGCCAACAGTTAGCAAACAAAGTCCAGATAGCAGTATGCAAAGGATAAAAATGCAAAAGTTTTAAACAATGTGTGCAATATAGTGTTGTCAAATACCGGATGCTCTTGGTGTTTGCATTGATATTGTTAAACGGTTTTCGGTATTTGTTGCAAAATCTTGTGTCTTGGCCATTTCGATGTGTCGGCAACTGATGAGCAACGCCTGTACGTTCTGTACGTTTTAATTAAATTTAATGCTTTTCCTTGGAAAACCTAATTTATTATCTAATTTAGTTTATTCACTATCAGTTTTCTTAAGAGAGACTAGACTTTAATCTAGTTATCTTGAACTTACAAATACTAAATTAAATTCACTTAACTTGATGTCTCAGTTCCATTTTTTGTACTGTGAAGTTGACTAAAAGAACGAAGTAAATACTGAAGATCACAAAAACGTAATTACTATTGAGCACGAAACATTTCTAATGCAAGTACCTTTCAGAACAAACTGCTGTATTTCTCTGTATTTTAACTTCTGTTTCAGTTTTTTTTAATGCTAAAGAGGAATTACATACGTCTGGAGAGAAAGTGAACAGGAAAGGAGGAACACAGGATAACAGATCTAAAGGAAACTCAGAGTGTTTTAAACTTAAAAATTTAATTGAATATTTTAAGAATCGTAAAGAAATTTTGCTTACATGCAGAGTGAAATTAATATAAAATAATCTTATGGTGATTTTCTCTAACAGGATAAAGGCATTCCTATTCCAGTCACACCTAAAGCGCCATGGAGTATGGACGCAAATTTAATGCACATCAGGTAAGAAGTAACAGTATTTAAATCAGTTTTTAAATTTTAGTTAAACAGTTTCGAATCCTATCTCTACAAAAAGCCCAAAAATGTGTTAATGTGACCTGAATCTTTTTGCGTTCCTTTAAGGAGTTTGTTACTCCATTAAAAGTAAGATTTTAGAAATGCCGCACTGAGATTAAATTATGTACTAGGCGAAATATCACTACATGCTGCGAAGAACTATCATCAATAAAAATTAGGATTAGTCATCATTTTTGTGTGCTACAGGTACTTCTGAAAATTATTTACCTTTTGGCAACAAAATGCAATAAAAAATTAAATTTATAAGAAAAATGAATGTATCAAGAAAAAGAAATTCAGTCATATATGTTAATTAGTTTAAAAGAAGAAAAACTTAAATAACCTGTAAGACGGTTGTAAGTTATTTTCACCGAGATTCAATGGGTATACTGAACTCTAACGCTATAATTGACAATATGAATAACGTATCATATTGAACGTAAACGATCTAGTCATCGTTATGGTTACAAAAACTGAAGATTTTAATCTACAAAAATACTGATAAGTAAATTTTGATGATTAGTTGCAAAGGCAATTATAATCCTTGATCTCTAGCTCTCAAGCCAGGCCAGACATTTTTACTTTTAAAATAGTTTCAGAATTTATTAAAGAATCCTTGAAGTAAAATTATTTCAGCCAGAAATCTTTCCAGAAGTCAACAATTCTTTAAACCAGTGGTTTTCAACCTTTTGACTAACGCGTACCATCTAAACAAAAATTGAAAACCACCACTACAAAGTACTACTACCACCACCACTCTTGTACAAAGTTCAGATCGCATAAATTTACGAGTGTTAGAGAAAAAACTCGATCAGGATGTTGGGGTTTCAATTTTTGAATTTAATAGTTAAAAATACTTTGAATCTTTGCGTACCACCAGTGGTACACGTACGACCGGTTCAGAATCCCTGCGTTAAACCATTTGAAAATATCAACAAATTTTGACAATTTTTGTTTCAAACGCAGCTTTAACTCCTAAACTGTCTGTTTTCAGAAGTCGAAAATAGTCAATTTTTTCCCTCCAAATAACATCAGATTACAGTAATGAACGTTTCTAAAAGTCTTATTTAAAAAAATTATCGGTGCCCAAATAAACAAATTATTCAGACTTGCATTTGCACTTTTTGCTCTCAAGGCACTGACCTCATGGTATTTATTCGCAGCCTTTATTTAAATCTCCACTCCAAATAAATTTTTCTCCTGTTTCATTTTTTTAAGCTGGTAAGTTAAACTGAATATAACTCTTCTAAACCCAATTCCAAAACATTTGAATTTGAACGGTAGATTCTCTTCTAGCACGAATCGCGATAAACATGCATGGCGTATAGATTCTACGAAATATCGAAATTCAACGAAGAGTTGAAAGATATGGCAAATGCAACGCGGCTTCATAATAATCATCTTCCTAGAACTTCTTCAGAATATACGAAGAGATTTTGTTGAAGATGGTTGTAAGAGTTTGTTGGAATGTTTGGAAAACAAAGCCGTTAAGAACTTCCGCGCTTTGGATCTTAACGTTTGCCATGAAATCACAGAATCGGCTACCATCACAGAATCGGCTTAGCGTGGGTTGACAGCTTTGTAGAGTTTATTAATGTACCCTATCCTTACCTTTTCTGTACGGCAGAAAATGTTCTCATTTATTACAAAACTCGTTAGTCTGACGGAAAATGTACATTTTCGAGGTTTCTTATATTAATTATTGTTACGCTTTTTTCTTCCTCTTCATGTACGGTACAGGTTCGTGGATCTGGAGTGAATAATGACAACAGCACGTATCGAAACATGCTTTATTAGCCAGTATTTTCAGGACAGCTCCAAAATCATATTTTCAGAGTCGTCGAAAAACTTCTATAGACACGCTTAGGGGTTAAACAATCAGCAACACAGTTTTCAGGCAATCAGTCTATAACGGTGAAATCAGCTTCACGGCAAAGCATTACAGTACAGTTCCCTACTCTACTCGGTCGTTCTCGGAACTCTGCGTACTCTCAAAACTCTCCACGCTACAACTCGCGATGCACTCGACGATACACAAGAGTACAGCTCTCGACTCAGCACGCCCTAAGTCAAAACTCGACGATGTACTAACTCTCCATACACTAAAAGACTCTCTGGATGCACTCTACGACCAACTCGGCGCTAGACTTCGAGACACTCGCTCAGTGACTGACTATGAACTCTCTAGACACTAACTGACTCTTCGCGTACCAGCAGAGTTTACATAGCTTTTGTCTTGTGTTCCAGAACATTCTGGGCTAAACCAGTAAGAATTCGTTCCAGAAGGTTCTCCATCCGTCTATGGCATATCGCCAATTTTGTCGCCAAATGTGGCAACCCTGCCTTCCCTTGTCATTTTCTGGCAACCCTGCCTTGCGGGAAAGCTATTCCACCGCGCCTGGACATTTCCTAACATTATGACAGATGCCTGCTTATTGATATTTCAGACTGTTTAAGCATACCCTTACTGTTGTTTCTAATGTGTTAATCATTATTTAAATCGAATGTTAACTTTGTTAATGAAGTGAGTATTGTTTCTGAACAACTTGAATGTAATTTGTTTAGTTTCGAATCTGGCATTCTAGAAGATCCGTGGACACCCGCCCCGGATGATTTATTCCGGATGACAACACATCCTCGAAATGCTCCTGATAATCCAGCACAGTTGGATATCGAATTCTTGGAAGGTATAATTAGAATAATTAACTTTCTTTTTTTATTTTTTATATAGGAACAGAGTAGGAGTTTGAAATCCTCCGAAAATTTCACAGTAGCGATTAAAATGTTAATTAATTTGAAATTTATTTAAAAAAAGATTTAAACTTTATTTGACTTGGAAAAATTTGTGTTAAAGAAACTTTATAGATCTAATCTAAATTTATCTTGTGTTATTGACAAGTAATCATATATATCTGATACTAACTAATGTGAGTTACCTCAGGTGTCATGCTAATCTCATATTCTTGAAATAAGGCTTATAAATAAATAAGTAACAATTAAGAAAAATTTATTAATTCCACTGCTCATGCAAAACAAGGTTGCGTTACTTGAGACACTAAACAGTATCAGAGTAACCTGTTCCCTAAAATTTGTCAAAAAATCAATGACTGGTCGATGCCAAACGCACATGGACCTAGTATGGACCTAGTTTACACTAGGAATTAACGTCAATACATCATTTACTCTCTGGACGGAATTGCACGTACACTGGCAAGATCAGCTCTCAAACAGTCGTACTGCATAAAAAAAAAAAAAAAAGGACATTTCTATATATAGCATTGTTCTAACATAGGTATTTTGACACAAAATCGTACTTTTTCTGAAATAACATACCAATATTTTTCCATATTTCGATTCTACGACCCAAATTATGCCTAGATATTAGATTTTGTAAAATTTAGTGCGAAATTTACGGAGAAATTCGAAAATTTATCTTGGCAAAATTTTTTCAGCTTGCACCAAGAATAATTCACTTGGCGAACTTCTTAATATATAGCAACCAATTTTCCTTTCCCTCCCATTATGCCGGAGTGGAAAAAAAGGCACCTCGTTCCTACCTTTTTACATTGTGCATGAGCGGAAAAAAAATCGCATTTCTTTCTTTTAAACTTTCAAATAGTTTTAGCAAAGTGTCTAAACCACATCTGATGTTTTATCGCTTTCAACAAATATGCCAAATTTCAAAACGCGCCAATATATAAATTCATGTATATCTTCGGAAATTTTGAATATAAAACTGTATTTTTTTGCAGGTATGCTTAAAAATATGCCTACTTTAAGCTGATGGTATAAATTTTAAAGATTATAATTCAAAAATGTTTTTGAAAAATTTATATTTTATTTGGAATGAACCTAAATTTCAAAATGTGAAAGGAAGAATCAAATAAGTTTAATAAAAAAGAGAGATTAATCAATATGTACCAAACTCAATTAACATTGAGAAGCTAAAATTTTGAGAACTAATTTTTTAAAAACTACTCGTGCGATTTTTACAAAGCTTGGTAGTTTGGCGTAATTTGAGTCGTAGAATCGAAATATGGAAAAAAGATTGGTATGTTATTTAAAATAAAGTCCGATTTTTGTGTCAAAATACCTATATTAGAACAATGCTATGTATAAATCTAATAAATATCCTAAGTCGCGCTTTCGACACATGAAAAACGCAAGTTGAATTTCGTCAATCGGCCCAGTAGAACGAGAGCTGTAGAACTGTCCCCCCCCCCTTTTTTTTTTTTTTTTTTTTTTTTTTTTTGCACAGTGTACAATAGTAAATGCCTTGGAACAGCAAATACTCCCATAATTATATAGGTACTTTAGCGTCAGTTAAGAATCGGCTATTATTTAATTTCGCTTGCATAAATCCCTGGCATAAACGAATTATTGCGATAATAATTATTGAAGACAAAATAAACGATAAGACAGTATGCAACTTAACTGCGAAAAGATTAATATAACAGTTACCTCTTGTTCAAATTCTTTAAGTTAAGAATTTTTTCAATATGGTACAAAGACATAAGCTAATATTATTGATGAGATTGGGGAAAGCACCAACAATACAGCAATCCACCGAGTGATAGAAAATATGTAATATAACATCAAGGCATGCGTATTAGAGAACTTAACAAGCTGTAACTCATATCCATTCGATTTGAGACAAGATGAAGAAACCTGATCCATTCCAAAAATATTGTCTTCAATTTAATACGAGTTTATTTTTATTTCTCTATGTAAAATCCTCATTAAAATGTTTAATTTCACACAATATCGATTTTAATTTAAAGTGAAAGATTACCCTTTTTTCTCCTTTCTTTACAAGACTAATTTTATAATTTTTCTGCCACCAGCCAAAGGCCAGTTTATTTTTCATTAAGTCAATTTATATTTTATTATATTGAGTCAATTTATAATTTTTTACATTGAATAAATATATTTTTATTACTATCTGAAAAATTTAGGTGTCCCCGTGAAGGTGAAGAATGAGAAAGACAATGTCATTAAAGAAAGTCCTCTTGACATCTACCTTTATCTCAATGAAATAGGGTAAGTGTTCTTTGTTAAATTACAAAGGGCTAAGACAGTACATAGCAAATAAATGAGATTCGCTAAGGCTTCTCAATACAAATCAAGTGTCTTTGCTTTGCATGCTAATTATTGAGAGTAATTATATGCACCTATTCACTGTTTATTATTTCCAATTATTTTTGGGCATTTGAATCAGTGTTGTCAACGTGAAGTATAGGAACTAAGAAACCACTAATATACCAAGCTTCTTAAGCTATGGATAATGATAAAGTACGCTCCTGCCTTAGCAAAGTTCTACATATGCACACCTCAGCAACCCATAAGTAATCAGTTCAAATAGTCATAGCATCACCGTAATCCGCAGACAAACTCGAAAATAAAAGCATGGACTTAATGGGGATTAATTTAAGTTACTTAACATTTAATTTTAAAGCAATCTTTCCTGTTACTCTCGCTTTTAACCCACGCTTTCTTGCCAGAATGTAAATGGCTTAGCATGCTTGTATTCAAATGAGGTAGAAAGAAGTTTAGTATTTAAGGGTAGGTGTTGGAAGGTGAGTGTGTTCTGCCTGCCTGGAGACCACGTTGTTATCTTTATATAGATTTACTAGTGATTAGATTTTTGTGCCATTGAGCACTTATAGCCCTTAGTCTTGTTTAGGCCGACTTTAAGGAGTTAGAGCCCGCCTGCACGTAAAGTAACTTGTGAAAAGCCGTTCGGCTAACGTAATTAAAATAATAATTTTAAGTTACTTGTTACCTGAGTTCAGCCAAAAGTGTTGGTTTTTGTAAGGACGAGTCGGTGCCATCTAAGTCGGCGTAAGTTTAATAAGGTTCCTTTATATCCTTTCTCTGGACTTTGTCATACTTAAGACTTGAGGATAATTCATTACACAGTCTGTTAACGTCTAGTTAGTTTAAGCTACCAAAGAACACTAGACGTAATATACTGTTTAAATATCTCTGCTTCTGTCTAACAGTGCAAATGCATAATTACCAAAGAATACGAAGTAGTTTTTAAATGGAATTTAAAATAAGTAAAGAGTAAATAAAATAGTTTACAGAAAGTCTAAATAAGCCTTTGATGGCCGAAAAATGCCGTCAAAAATTCATAAAATAGAAAAAATCTAACATTTTGTCTGAATATATAATTTATCTTCTTCCTACAATTACCACTAAATGTTCATCTGCCCATTACAGTCTCATGTGAATATTTTATCTGTCAGTTTTATGATCTCCCCCCTTTTTTTTACTTACTTTTCTTTAATAATTAAGTTTTAGTTAAACTAGCGGCCAACGACCTAAAATAGTTATTACAAAAAAGAAAAAAAATATTTTAATGAGTCATTATTAAAATGCTTAATTCATGAATCCAGGTACTGTAATTTTACGGGTTCAGCTGGTAATAAATAAGAATTGAAATTAATTTCCGTTTATTGCTTTTAAGTCACTTAGTTTGTTAATTAATAAAGTAATAAATTTGAAAAAAAATTAAATATTACCTTACGTTTTACTGAACGATAACACACCGCCGCATGATAGATAAAAATATTTTACTTCGGGCAGTGGCAATGCATTTCTTTTAAATCCGCAAGTATGTTGATTAAATTTTAAAGATAAAAATATTGCGTTTTGCTGATTGGAAACACGCTTTTTTCATATCGCTGAGTTTTCTGATTAAATTTTAAACTTAAATATCTTATGCTTTGCAGAATGGTAACACAAAGCTTTCAAATCACTATTTTTAATGAAAGTTCATTAAATTCGTTCAAAATGCAGAACAAAAAATCAAAAATAAATTCTTTTTTAAGTTTGAAATTCGGTCTTTAAGTTGCACATGTTCGGGTAAAGGTCGAAGTGTGTTGAAAATCTAGTGGCTCTAGGTGTCGCCGTTTTTCCACAGTGAGAGAAGATACGTACATACATATATACAAGCATATATACATACATACATCCTCTTCTTCATTATTTAATAATAGAGAAGTCATATGGTATGTGGCTCCACTGAAAAGTATCTATTCGTGTTCTAATCGAATACTATCTATGTCTTGCAAAAACAATATGTTAAGATTCTTCTTTTGTACAAGTTATTTTTGCTCTTTGAATGTCGCTGAAATTTTCTCTTCCAATCATTTTGATTACTTCCCTCCTTCTTTATATTTTTTAGACTATGCCAACAGTTTTCAGATTTATACCTTAACCTTAGAACAGAAGAAACAGTTGTGTTTCCTTTTCAACGTTTTCGTCCTTGTTTAAATGCTTTTTAACATTTTCTTTATGATAGGTATTATAAGATCTGGAATTTTCTCTTTGGATTTGGAATTTCCTTGGTTCTTGAATTTGTTACCTCATTACTTCCATATTGCTCATGATGAAAATTCTTTCCTTATATCAGTGAATGTAATTGCATCCACATTTTTTAATTAAATAATATTGAACTTTATTTTGATGGAAGTCCTATAATTGCAGATTTGATAAACTCGTGATCATTTATTTAAGGTGTTAAGTTTTTCGCCTGCTCCAGAAATTTTTAAGCTCTTTTTACCAGGATATAGTGAAAGATGAGGGTGACCTGACCGGGACGACCAATTTGCATAAATGTTCCGGAACCTTTATGCAAGTTACCTGTCCTTCGCCAAGGTACAATGATGCCTCAGAATTAAGATACAAAAGTGTCCCGACAGCGACACCTTTATGAAGTTTAGCATATCCCATGAAGAATGGAACCTTCAAGATGCCGGAATGCCCATGGTTTGGTTTTTAATTTAGTGAATAATCACCGACGTGCATATATATGCCAGCATACAGAACGACTTCTAACCAAGCTTTATGCTTACAAGCACAAACTCCTCCACTCTCTATACACGCTCTAAAGAAAGCAGCAAAATCTACAGATTTTTAAGAGATGAAAAATTAGCGAACGTCTTCGCCAGGAATCGAACCATGGACCTCTGGAATACTGGCCCAGTGTGCAGATACCACACTACGAAGGCGCGCTAGGTAGGCGGGAGAAATACCTTATATACTCCACCTTTTAAAGGGCAACTGGGGTTTTTAGGGGACCCGATCGGCAAATTCTGGGTGGGGAGAATCATCATCCACCACCCTTTTAGTTCGGGCGCCACTATAGAGACATTATGTATTTTTAAAGCAGACAAGATGAAAAACTAGTAAACGCCTTCGCCGGGAATCGATCCACGGACCTCTGGAATACCGTTCACACTGGGACAGTGTGCAGACCACCACACCACGAAAGCACGCTAGGAAGACGGGAGAAATACTTTATTAGCCAATCAGCCTTAGGAGCACTTCAAAATATTTGAAGCAATTACCCTCAAAGCATCCTAAATTTAAGCAGTGTCAAACCTCACACTAAATTCAAATCGAATGAGTCAGAGCGGCATAGCAGGAAATGAAAGCAGATCTTTTTGCTAAAAATTCAACTACTAACACAGCAAGTGAAAGTATAAAAATTCCTTGGCCAAAATCTTCCCCTAAAAGAATAAGGAAAAGAAAAAGAGAAAAAAATTGAAAATCTGTGTGGGGGGGCGGGAGATAAATATGGCAGGAAGAGTGGGACCACTCTCAACAAGACATACGTTTCCATGAAGGAAGGAGAAAAATTCACAACATAGAAATGTGAATTTGTGGTAAAGGAAAAGACCCTGATCAATATATAATATTTCAAACTAACAAATATGTGATTAAATTATATGCAAATGACTATCATGTAATGTAATGTAATATACAAGTGTGCTATGCAAATGATTATCATGTATACAAAATTCAAGTTTTGTTAAAATGATGGATGCGGTTGCCCTATGGCACTCGAATGCGGTGCTCTGTGGGCTCCTGGTGGTTTTCGATGTTGCATTTGGGAAACGGGTACTGCCTAATGCGCCGCACTTGGCTCTCAACTCTCGCGAGCATCCTGACGGGTGTTGTTTCTAGCATTAGTTAGGCTCAGCGATATCTCAGTGATTAATGGCACTACAGAGGTACTGGCCTAGCATCAATGTTATATTATAAAGATGCCAGTATTCATATGCCCAGTGGAAACACAAAGATGCGCAAGTTCAGTTTAGAACTTGGAGAAAGCAGCTTCCATGAAAGTGTCGTATCTTAATGATAGTTTCTGTCAGGGCAAAACCTCCATCATAAAAGTACCGGCACCTTCATACAGGTGGGCCACTGTTTACCAAGAATGCTGCGGCATAAATGAGTCTCTACTCTTATTAAGCCGCATCATTATTATATTCAGTTTATAATTTGAAGAAAGCACCTTTCGTCAGATGCTGATCAAAGAATATTTACTAGGAGTCTTGGCAAAAAACCTTTCTTCCAGGTGTTGGCAGCTTTTTTTTAATGCCACAGCACCTTTATAAGATGGTTTCTGCCTTGGCGAACAATTGTAAAAATATGTGACAAGATGATCTATAGCCATCGGGGTCTTGGGAAATTTCTCGAATAGCCTCATCCGCTCCTGCCAGAAACGAACGATCTTTTCTTCATTCATTTTACTTCTTTTGCATATAGGAACTTGAGATTTCATTTTAGCCTGAACTGTTTCCATCTTTAAATCTTCTTTGTATCTCGCACCCTGAAATTCCCCAAACTGGTTTGCTTGGCTAGCATGTGAGAATTAAAGATCCTGATGCTATATGCATTGAACATATATAATAATACTTCTAATTTGGCATCTTTTTTTCCCCATTTCTGCATATTCTCCACATTTCAAACTGCGACTTGATCGGAAACTTATTCTAACCCTTTATTCTTCAAGAATAGATTAAATTATAAACTTCTGCGATGTGACGTTTTCTGATCGGATTTTAATAAGTGGAAAATACTTTTCATGTTTTGTTTTCATTTCACTTGTATAACATTTCTTGCAACACGAAAGAATTCAATTATTGGTTCCCCAAACAGTATTGGCCAGTGTCCATCCTGTCCAATAACTAGAGGAAACAACCTAGACCTAATTAATTTTAAGATATTGTTTTAATTCTCAGGCAAATTTCTTGGATACATAACCCCACTTTGACTTCCATATACGTAACTAAAATGGAGGCACAATATAAGTTAAACACAGTACACAGCAACAGTTGTTTTATGCCACATAAACTTGATTTTAACAATATACAGCTTTCTGTAACAATCCATTGTCAAACTACTAAAATACAGTACTATACAATTTAAAACTTAACAAATAATCAAGACTCCCATGGCAGTTAAATTACTCCACACATCCAGATTAGAGCACTTTTACGATTTAAAACAAATAACCAAAAAAAAAAAAAAAAAGGTTTCAGATGTTAAATTACGTCAGAAGGGGCGTTTTTTTTAACGTTTTGTGTGTTACCTTTATTTATTAAATATCATGTTCTTTGCACTTAAACCATAAAATTCATTTCAACAGCAATATCGCAAAATAATTTTAAATAATTTTAAAATTGGCTTATTTTTAGAATTTCCGATACACACTTCCGGGCGCTGGGGATAAATTTTTTTCCCCATAGAGTGTTGCCATTGCTCGCTTTTAAATCGTTGTTAATCAAAAATTCCTTAAAGTTTTACAAAATATGAAATAGATAATAGAACAAATTCCAAATTTGCGCTTCGAGATGCCCATATTCGGGTGAAAACGTACTACATTATTCAAAATTGCGTAGCTCTAGGTACCATCGTTTTATCACAATGCGAGAAATATACATACATTTATGCTTATTCTTCATTATTTAACTTCTTAAATATAATACAGGGTGATAATATTTCGTGGCAACAATTTGAGAAGTGAATCGGACATTTATAGTGAACCAATGCAAAATGCCAAAACGAAAATAATAGTCCTTCAGGGCAAATTGCCGCTTTGGACTAATAATAAAATTGAGTTGTTTATTCTAAAGATTTGTACAGCTAGAAAAGTGCAGTTAGTCAAAATATGAGAACAGCTATGATATAATCTGCATTGAAAATTCTTGATTAAGCTGTTTACATTTTCAGGGGAAAGCATGGAGTTGGAAGAATCGATATTGTAGAAAATCGGTTCATTGGTATCAAGTCTAGAGGTAAGTTTCCTTAACTATTTGAAACGAATTACTTCATTAAACTCTGTTAATTTTATTAAATAACGAATAGTTTTCGCTTTAATTTAGTATTTATTCTTCTTATTTTATATGTTATTTCTATAACAAAAATAAATATGCAACGCAATAGATATACACTTTTTTCGTGGAAATTCTATGATGCAAATTGTGATTTTTTTTTCAAAATGAACCATCAAAAATAGCTAAAATAATATAGACATATAACGATATTTACGTAGTGCAGCGATGATGAACTTTTTAGAACTCTATATCAAATCTTTCGAAAATGCCGCTGACGCTAGCTTGATACCCGAAGACGTGCCGTTTTTGTCATCGAACAACACAAACATTTTTATGTACATATTTCATATATTCATTATTTCATTTTGTATTCAAGCCAGTGTAGAACGAGTGATCAAAATACTAAAAATGGAAACTCTTCTTCATATTCACCCTTCTGAAATACAAGACTGTATCAGTTGCTTCAGAATGCCTAATAGGTCAGAAGAAATAAGTTAATGGTTTATTTCACATGCGAGTATACAACATCGATTTCGAGAAAGTCAAACAACGACATCTCTGGCATGTATCTTGCAATTACGTGATATTCAGAGACTTATATTATCGAACAAAAATCCAGTGAATGAACCTTGTAAGGTTTTAAAAGTTTGCTTAAACAGACACTTTTTTTTCTCCTGTTCTAGCACTTCCGCATTTACTTCATTCACGTGTTACAAAAATACTTAAGTGTATAATGAAAAGCAAATTTAAGAATACAGTTTTAAGACTGTACTGCATTTATTAAGATATAAACAAAATTTAGTAAATAAAGTATATATTTATAAAACACTTGAATCTTAAATTCAATTTTCTTAATATAACTTTATGAAACGCATTTTAATAACCTAATGTTTTGTGCATTTTCGCAGAATCTTTTTAAATTAAAGCAAATATAGATGGGAGAGGGGCAGGAAATTATTTCAAGAGTTCCTATACATAAAATACTAAACACCAACGTTGAATTCTGTCCAAAATTTAAGATTGAGGCGCTATAGGCTCCTATGAGACAGATACTGGTGATCTGGGTTCCTGAAATTGCAATAATCACGTTAATTTTTAATTAACACCAAATACAGTTAATGGTTAAGGAGTTAACAAAAAACAGTTAATGGTTACAGTTAATGGTTAATTTTGCACAGTGTGTACGAAAAAAAAAAAAAAAAAAAAAAAAGCAATTCGACCAGCTGCCAGAAAGGCAACGTTTTGTGCACAAACATTTAAAGTTAACTTTTGGTCCTACTGGGCAAAAAGACACTGAAGTTGATGCACTAACTGACTTTATTCACTACATTCAAGGAAAGCACCTTGACTACATTACTAAGAGCTTTAAAAGAAAGCAAACAGCAACCAATTAGGCCTAATAAGATTGTTGATAATTCTAAAACTATTGTACAAATTAACGAAAGGCATAAAAACCTTAACCGGAACACAAGAACAACATAATTCAATCACTTATAAAGCAAAAATGCACAATTTATCAACATATAAGAATAAAAAAAAACTGAGCTCATTAAGCCGGATAACAAAATGGGATATATACACACACGTTTGTTGCAACCGATTGCAACGAAAAAGGGGAGGTGCACGACTACATATTATAGCGGTCCCATATTCTACGGCTACGCGATTTTGAGTTATGCGAGATACATACCTACATATGTACAGACGTCATGAAAAAAATCTCTTCTGAATCTATTTTAAATCCAATTTTACAATCTGTTTTGGAAAAAATAGTCCTTTATTCTATCTGTACGTACAGATGTCACGCAAAACAAAATCGTTCAAATGGATTCGCGAGCGGTCAAAATGGATATTTTCGTTGAAATACGATACTCCAATTTTTTCAAGATTACAATACTTCCAACAAGGAAATAAAAATATCAGTTTTCAGAGTTAGTGAGCCTTTGTTCTTGGAAGATTTTTGAATTATTGTTAGAATACCTTCGTTTTTACTACGAAAACACAGTTATTTTCTACTATTCTAAACATTTTCAGCAAATCTTTCGATTTTATTATGAGAATTTGCATGGACTTGAAAACCATTGTTTCGTTTATTTTAGTTGAACTAAATATATATATTTAAATTTTTATTTTCAGGGGTGTATGAAACGCCTGGTGGAACAATCCTACATGCTGCCCATACAGACCTCGAAATATTTACTTTGGATAAAGTACGTGAATTTAGGAATATAATTGTTGACTTGACTTTTAGCAGACAGTAATTTGACATTTTGTGTTTTGACATTTTGTGAAGACTTACTACCTACGGGGTCATAAAATGTTTTAAGTATCAATTTTGATGCTTCTTATGGTTTTAAATGTAAAAATTCATTTACCGATGTTTTTCAATATGACTGTCTTTGCATCACTTTGATCATTTTAAAGCACATAATATCATTTTAGGTACGTTCTTCCTCTGTCCTCCAACAGCTTTCTAAGAACTGTTAGAATAGAATCCTTTATCATTTTTAGTTCCTTTTACAGATACCCTAACAGAAAATTATACCAAAATGCAGCTTTAAGACTCTTTGATATAATAGTTTTGTTACCATGTATTAATATTTGCAACATCAGCATACTTAAACAAATTTTAAAGCCATTTATATTGAAAATAAAATATTGATTTTTTTGTTGTTGTTTTCACTGCTTTTATTTTCTTCTAGGAAGTCTACAAACTGAAAAAGTATTTAGCTCTTAGATTTGCAGAGCAGGTTTATAATGGTAAGTAAAACGACCTTCCTATATTCTCTGAAATATAAAAATACGATAAAAAGCAAGCATCTAATGGAAAACATGAGTTTTATTTCCTCTATATAGGTATCATACATTGTGATAATTATTTTAAATTTTACTAAAATTTAACTCTGTTGTTCTCCTGTCTTTTCTTGGATTTACGTTACTTACGTTTAATCAGACCAGATGTCACTTATGCAAAATTAAACCACGTGCAGGAAGTTTAATGACTAACGAATGTAAACTGCAACTCAGACCTTATTTCGTGAAGAGCTGTTGTTGGAGACAGCTCCACGATTTTAGTTACTTTTTAGTTACTTTGGATTAGCTAGTTATATTATTTGAGTTTTTTCATTAATATATGGGAAAACGCATGAGAGCTATCTACGTAAGCGGAGAAATGCCTTTATGGAGGACATTCTACGAAAAACTGGCTTGTATTCACATTATACATGGAAAAAAACTATGAAAACCAATCATGTAACCAGTCCCGATTGCTTGGGTTTGAATCCGGGTCGAACTATCACTCTTTAAAGACCTTAACCGCTCGCTCACTAGTGAGGTATTGGGTATCACTAGTGGGGCAATGAAGAAAGTATTGCTTTGAGGCTACATCGTGTCTCACTGCCGTTCTTATTGGTAAATGAATCTTTTTAAATGTACAGAGACCATAGCCAAGTGTCTTTAGAAAATCTGACTCTGACATCACAAAATTTTCAAAAAAAAAAAAAAAAAAAAAAAAAAAAAAAAATTAGAATATACATATATATTTTTAAATAAAATTAAAAATTTATCATTAAATCTTTCTATCCTATTTAAAATATGCACTCAATGAAAAAATTGATTAATTTAAAGACTGTTTAACTCTCTTAAAATCGGAAAGCTAATATAAAAAAATGATTGAATTAGCCGTACTGAAATAGTTGGCTGTAACGAAAGTTTTCAGCGAAAAAACGTTCTTAATAAAGTTAGAAAAAAACATGAAAGTAGTACCTTTAGTGTGGATAGCCATCACCACCCAAATTTATGATTTTCTGCCAAAGTTTTGGAAGTTTTTCAAACCCTTCGGCTCAGAAACTTAGTTGCCGCCAGTCCAAAAACAGATCAACTTCATTTCGGAAGTCCTGTGGAGAATGGAAGATAGTACGAACAAGATGTAACTGCAGGTTTGAAAAACTGTAGAAGTCCGAAGGAGCGATGTCGGGGCCATATGGTGAGTATGACAAAAGATCCCATTCGAGTCTATACAGAGTCCAGCCGGTGATTCACACACCGGCATTCAAGATAATGCAAGAACACTTGCATTATCTTGATGGAACATTAACTTTCTGCGCCGGGACTCAATTCGACGTTTTTCCTTGATAGCAGCGTCGATACGGACTAGTGTCTCGCTGTACACCTTACTGTCGAAGGTTTTACCTTTTTCCAGATACAAAGCATGATCTTTTTGTTAGTCAAATTTCGCTTTGCAACGCATTTCCGTCAGGATTTGTCTTTCCTTGTTGAAGAAACATTAGCCTAAATCTACATTCGTCAGGTTGGTTTTGAGCTACTTTCCAAGTTCTAGCCGCAGTCAAACCTGCCATTTGTTAATTGCAATAATATTTGAAATATATCATTATGTTGCTCAGAAGTAAATGGCTTGAACTTGGAATTTCTTTCAACACTTCATTATTTACATGAATATTTTTCATTTTGTACATAGGGAGGGGATAAAACTGACAGTATTCAACTACAATACTCACACATTTTCACACAGTAAAGCCACTGAAATTTGCCAGACGCATGTCTTCACTCTTTTGCACACAGATTTCGCGGAGAGCTTTGCAGGAGGTTTCAAGGGGCAAAACAAATTTCCTCTTCCAACAGTCGTAAGTAAACTCAGCCCCTCCATTTCAGCCTTGCTGGCTCTTGCATTGGAACTTTCGAGTCACACCGTTAGCGTTTCTGATGCAGACGAAATCAAACACCAGCCAATTACATTTGAGTCGTTTGACCAGCGTATGAATTTGCGCAAAGGATATTTCATTATTATTCTTTACTTATTCCCCATTAAACTTTACAGCTTTTTGAAGTGTGCACACACTTTCAGACGGAGGAAGCATTACAACTTCACTTTTACTTGTAACACCAATTCCTATTGCTAAATTGTATTCTCTTTTGTATTCAATTTAATTCAATTAATCATTTTAGCAATTTGGTAGTCATCAGTTCTACAAATCTGAGAAATTTTTTCGTAAATCTCCTTTCAAACTTATATTAATTGATATATGGCATAATGAGTCGTGTGAAGCATGTCTTTTTTTTATCATTATTTCTGTATATGATACTGATGACCAAATTCGATCATTAATTTAGTTTCTGTTTAATTTAAATCCTATCCATCTTTCCTGTTGTTGTTACTTATCCTAATTGGTTAGCCATTAGTACGTTTCCTGACGGCCAGTACTCGGCCGAGACCAGGATCATTGGAAATTATTAATTTAAATAATAATAATAAACTAGAACGACATGATTACCTGTTTAAAATTATCCCATTTTAGAATAAAATATGTCCTAATAAATTAGCAACAGCATATTAATTGCTTGTTTAATTGAAATACTATATGCCTTTATGAAAAGCTATGATTTAAGTAGAACATATTCAGTTCTTGATAAAACTTAAGTCTCAGAAGCAAAATATAATTAGCCAAAAAAGCATATTTATCAAATACGTTTTAAGGATTATGTTTATTTTATTAACAGTTAAAGTTTGAGTTAAACTTCCCTTCCTATCGATTCTTACCACTTCCGGACAGAACCTAATTTTAGAATCACGTCTGAATGTTAATGAGGAAGAGCGGTATATAACCGCGAAGTTCTTAGTGAGAGAGATACCAGATATTCTGGCTGCAGGCGTCCGCCTTTTTAGACTACTCTCTCGTAAGCTATTATTACGCTCGGCCGTACTTTAGGCCCTTGATAGCTTCGCAGTCAATTAGTGTTAAGGGGCCAACTCTGTTAGGATTTTGGTAGCTTCGGCTATAGCTCTTTAGTTAAGATTAGTTTTGTTTAATTCTTAGCTTCTTAAGTTCAAGCCAAAGTGTCGGCTTTATTGTACAACTCCAAGACGAAATTTTGTTAAACTTTACTTGGAATAATAAAGGGTTATTTTACCCTTCAATCTTGTTGTTTCCTGTCACACGAACATAGCCGATTATTCGCTTATCAGTTCTTAAAATTCTTCACTTCCAACAGTAACTTAGAATTACACAGTAGAGAATCCTACAACGTGACTATAAAAAAAAAATTTAAGAATTACAAGTCAAGAGCTTTTTTTTATGAAAATCTGCAGGCATTTCTATCTGTTTCGATGTATTAAATGGTTCTACTGAAGAAATTTCTTAGATATCGCAAAGATATAGTATTTTTATCAGACTATAATTACGATGCACTCTAAATCAGCTTACAAATCATAAATTTGGCCAAGAAAAGTATTTCTAAAAGAAATTTTTTACACAGTTTTTTGATTTTAATAATAAATCCAAATGGATTTCCTTTCTAGCTAGCATTTACTTTATATTTCAAAATCTCATTTCTTTTTAAATCATTAAATGACTTTTTTTCCATTATTTTTGTATGCTATTGCTGTTATTTTTGTATTACAATTTCCTCAATGTCCGATATCAATTTAAAAAATACAGTTCCAGAGTTGCTTAGATTATTTAGTCCTCAAATTTCCTTGGATTTCCTTAAAAAAGAATCTCTATAAGATAATTTTTAATAAATCATTGAATTTCATGCTGCATTTGAATAAACCTTGTTTTGCATCCTAGTTTTTTTTTCACAACTGACTTTTCCCTCCTTCACCAGGATTATGGTTTAGCCCTGAGAGTGAATATACACAAAACTGTCTGAAACTAAGCCAGAAGAATGTTAATGGCACGGTCAGAGTCCTCTTGTACAAGGGCCATGTTCATATCATTGCCAGAAAGTCCACCTCTACTACTTTCAACCAAGAATTAGCCAGGTAAAGGTTTTTCCTCAACTCGTATCTTTGACAAGATAAAAAGCTACAAATTCTGAAAAAGCGATCCTTAATCTCTTTAGGAATTATCAATACCCGTAAAAATTGCTTGATCGTTATTTGTACCCCTACAAGAAAGTTCGCATCCCTCCAATGTTGGCACACAGAAAATGTCAGAATTATGATTCATGACTCGTTAGCCTAAGGCAGTGATGGCGAACGTATGGCACGCGTGCCACAGTCGGCACACGAATAAAATATTACTTTCTTAATCAACAATCGCAATAAAATGAAACTATGTAATTTAAATAAGTGTTTTAGTCTGTTCTTGAACGTTTCACCTTACTTACTTATCGCATAATGCCACTAGCATAGGGCCTAAGCCTAGATATAAGATTTTCATATATTGCAAAAGAAATGATATACATATTTATAGACCCAATTTATGACGTTTTAGTTGGTTGGGCCAATCATATTACTTGTTACAAGGCAAAAAATACGCTAAAGGTGAAGCAGCTAATGTTTGCTAAAACGAATTCAAATTTATTACAGACTGCTGGTGAGTTTTAATACTTTCATTGTTAAATAGATTCCAGTTTCCAAATCTAAGCATTTTCAGGTAACTTGTGAATAATTTTAATGTCTTAAATGAAATGACAAACGGCCCCAAAAAGGTTCACCACCACTGCCCTATGGTATTAACTCCTTTAGTTATGGGGGAAAAAAAATCACAGCAAAACATCGCGGACGAAAATGTAGCGGAGAAAACAATGCAAGGAGAAAACATCGTCATCCAAAACATTGAGGGAGAAAAGAAAGCAAGGAAAAAACATAGCAATTCTAAAACATCGAGATAAAAAATATCGTGGAAAAAAATAAAACACGTACAAATCATCGCAAGACAATAATATCGCAGACCAAGTTTTTAAAAGTAAATGTATATTTTCATAATCATTTGTGAGCGCTGGAAGGAATTAGGGTATTTTTACTTAAATATTTCATATTTTTGAATTAACTAATAAATTTTTGTTTAAAAAAGAGGATGAACTTAAGCATTCAAAAACTGAAAATGAGCAGAAATTTAATGCTACGCGTGACACTTAATAGAATTTTAAACTTATGCGATTAACTCTTAGAAGTCATTATTTAACTAATATCTTTAATGAAGTTTATTGGAGTTTCTCATGAAATATATATTCTAAAAAAGAATATCAGATAAACAAAATGAAAGAAAATTATTTTACACTTTGCAGTTACTCATCTCCCTATTTTATGAAAAACTAGTAATAAAGCTTTATAGAAGAGATTAAGTGAATAATGACTTAAAATATTTAACTACGTAAGTTTAAAATTTCTTTCAACTGTTATGCGTAGCATTTATTTTCTACTCATTTTCAGTTCTTGAATGCTTGAGCCTCCTTCTTTCTTTTCTAGCAAAAATTTATTATTATTTTTTTAAATATAAAATATATCGGTAAAAATATTCTTCATTCCTTCTAGAGTTCACAAATTATTATCGGCATATAAATTTACAATTTTTAAAGCCTGAAAAGCGCATGTCTGCCCTATTATCATAAAGCGATGATTTGTACGTGTATTTTTTCCCACGATATTTTCTAACACGATGTTTTTGAACTACTTTATTTTCGACGTCGATGTTTTTCTCTTTGCTTTGATTTCTTCCACGATGTTTTTGTACGATAATGTGTTCACCTTGCGTTGTTTTCTACGCAACGTTTACATCCGCGATATTTTTTCCGTTAAGACTTCGGGGAACAACCACCACTCTTTGTCGAATCCCATGAAATTCCATCGCGTACCCCTGACAGCGAAGTATTTTTTTACTGGGGAGTTTTATATGTAAAAGATATGATTTATTTCTTTATCGTATTTTCTTCAGCTAAGTAAAATTATCAAAATCGTAAAAACAACCTTGTATTTAGCGTAAGTAAATTGAAACACTCAATCAATTTCGAGGACAGCTAAAGGTCCCTCCTCATCAGGAGAAAGAATTACATAGTAAGAAGAAAAATAAATAAATTAAAAAAAAATAAATTAAAAAAATAATTCATTTTTATTCAAAATAAATTTATTTCATTTAAGAAAAATAAATGAAAAATAAATTATTCATTTATTTTTCTTACTATGTATTTCTTTCTCCTGATGAGGAGGACCTTTAGCTGCCTCGAATCGATTGAGTGTTTCAATTTACTTACGCTAAATACAAGGTTGTTTTTACGATTTTGATTGTCACATTAGCGTGTTTCTCTTCTAGTCAAGTAAAATTATATTGGCAAAATAAGTATTTCACGAAAAAGGTGAATATTATATATATATATATATATACATATTCAATATTTTATTTAAATATTTTTCAAAGTAAACCCTAGGTTGCGTGCTGGAAATGTCTTTGACATGATGGATTTGGTGTGCGTGACAATGAATCCCAATCTCTCGTCTAAGGTACGCTCTGTCGAAATCAGCACGAAGAATTTACTTGGATGAAGGAATTTTATAGAACCTGCGTACTGATAAAAGTGTGCGCTCTTTGTCTAAAAATGATAAACTAAGTTTCCTGTTAGGATAAGAAGAATATTTCCTGATATTTCAACAATCATTCTTGTTAATAGTTTCAAATAAAAAAAATATTTTATTGCATAAAAGTTTTGTTTACGTTACATAAAAACTTTCATTTCATTACTCATTTAGCATGGAGGTTCAAGGAAACTGTTCCCCAAATGACGCTGATGGTTTTATAAAGGTCAATGCTATACGGTAATAAACTATTACTCTGAAGAAAGTTTCATTTGGTATTTATTTATTTATTTTAATTCTTTTATGTTTTATCTCTGAAATGCATTTTCTCTTTCAGGCTAAAAGAGTACTTCCGTCTGAAATCGAACCCAGATTAAATTGTTGTAAAGTGACCATTCCATCTATGACAAATGATAATGTTTTACTGTCCGAATGATGAAATATTCTTATTCTATTTTCAAGATACAAGCGTGCAGTTGCAGAAAATAAATTTTGTGGAATGTGTTAGCATTATTTAAGGATTGTTTCACTGTTTAATATGAAAGTTAGAATGGAATAAGCTAATTATAGTTTTATTACCTGAAAACACGAAATGTACTTTTAATTACAAAATTAGAATTGTAGCTTTTATATTCTTTATTTTTATGGATGTCTTAAACCTTCGCAAAACATTAATTCTCTCTCCCGTAAAATGGGTCCAGCGCAGTTTCCAAATGTTTGACCATGGCAGCTGTCTCGGAAACCTGAAATATAAATAATTTTGTTTATTTCTATGCATTTAAAGTAAAATGTTATGCATATAAATAAACATAGATTATAGTTAATAATATGGACAATTATTGATTCTTAGTGATAGAGATTTCTAATGCACATTTAGAAAATGATCGAAGAGGTTTCTTAATCTTTACTGTCTGCATTTAAAAGATAAAAAAATGCATAAATGCATTAGTATTTACATCCTTTGCAGAAAAATTCCAGGACAATTTTTTTAAAATTTCTGTGTTTGCAGTACTAAAAAAGGAATAAAAGTTGTTTTTATGTTACCTGGTATATATTCTTACTTGACATGACCTTGGTCATGTTTCTACACAAACGTAACTAGGTGGCAGAGCTGTGCTTAGCAATACACTGTTTGGGTTGTTGTCGCATTCGTTAAGGTGATACAATGGATGCTGACTGTGAGCAAAGAGTGAACATTAAGTTCTGCGTTAAGCTTGGGAAAAGCCCTAGTCAAAGGTGGAACATGATTAAGCAAGCATATGCAGACGAAACACTTTCAAGAAGTCGTGTTTTCGAGTGGTATAAAAGGTTTCGTGAAGGCAAAGATTTAGTGCAAGACGATCTCGAAGCTGGTCGCTCGTCCATAGCACATACCGATGCAAACGTGTAGCGTGTAAGGCAGTTATTGTAAGAAGACCATCGTGTACCTGTACATATGATTTCAGAAAAATTGAATTTGAATTGTGATGTGTGGCATCAGATTTTACGCGAAGATTTAGGAAAACGGAAACTTAATGCAAGAATCGTCCCTCCCTCACTAACAAACGAATAGAAAGAGAAATGACAATGAATTTCTGCTGAACTATTGGATAGAGCCAGACTTTATACCACATTTGTGTCCAAGATTATGATTTTTTCTTGTTTCCTTGAGTAAAAAGGTGACTGAAAGGAAAGCTTCATGAAGATTATTGCAGTCATCCAACGGGCTGCGACAAATGAGCTTGCAAGCATCGCAGTTGAAGATTTCCCTGCTAGCTACCAAGACCTCCAGAAACGTTGGCAGTTGTGTATAGATAGTCAAGGGAACTACTACGATAGCAGCTAGCATCATTACTTGATAAATGAAATTTTCTATTTTTTATGACCTTTGTCCTGGAACTTTTCTGATAATGGATGTAATTACCCGAGATTATGTTTAAATTGATGTTAACTCGCTTAATTGAAAACTCTGACAAAATAATATCGAGTTCTTAGATTTAATATAAGCTTTTTAGAACTCTAAGCTGAATCACCATCCATATATTTTCAACTGAATGCTAAATCAACTGACAAGAATACTTTAACTAAATAGTAGAAGTTTTCCAAACTCAGTACCTAACATCGTACAAACTCAGTAACATATTAGCCAGAAAAAAAAACTAACACATATTACTTAAAAAATAACTCTTTTAACAGTCTGCTATCCTATAGCTCAATAATCGATTCTGGGCGGAATGATTTGGCGCGTAGTAAATACAACTTCAGCCATCACACCTGGAAGGTATCTACTTATTACTTTCATATTTCTAATTTTTCTGCATGGCTTTAAATACTGCATTACATTACATAAACTGAAGAACTCGCGGAGCATAATAAATGAGAGAATGCATAAATAATTAACTTTATAACAGAAGTATCGAACGCATATCAGCTATAAAAACTTTGAATATGAAGGATCATAGGAGAAAATATTTCTATAAGGAAATTAACAGCACAGAAATGGAAGCCAATTCGGATTCTGAATTTGCGACGGTATTCCACAATGCAATTTGGAGACAGGGAATTTTTCTTTTTCTTTTCGTAATGCACGTAAATGCTCATTCGTTTTAAACCATAAAACAATTAAATAAAATCTACGTACATGCTCAGAATTACGATACAGGACTGGAATTGAAAATTTCTCATGCTTTTGATTACAAATACATGAAACTAAAGAAGAAAACTTTAACTGTATTATAAGCAGCAATTTTGCCATAGATTGCTACTCATCATTAGGGCCGGAGCCAGCCTTTTCGCGTAAATTCTACCGCCAAATGCCTAGTTAAAATAAAAGACATTTTGCCACCTCTAAATTCTGCCATTCGATGTGGCTGCACCGGTTCGGCTCAATTTTCAAGCTAAGACAAAGATATATTTTTAAGGTCAACATTTTCATTTTCTTAATTACTCCTTTGATTCAGCTGTTAAAGATCTCAATTTACGGTTGATTTCCCACTTAAAGCATTTATATTTTTTTATTTAAATTGATTGGTTAATTTTTAATATTTTTTCTCGCTTTGTCAAATTTCTCAAGCGTGCGAACCGACTACCAGTTACTTTTTCGGAAAAACAGCTCCCATATTTTGAAAAAAGTACATAAAAACCGTACTAAATGTCGCCAAATTCGGCGACTTTTGGCAATTTCTTGCCAAAATTGGCGACAAAAATAGTCGCCAAAACCATTGCCAGCTCGGCGACATCTAGCCAAATTAGGGAGATAGCTATTTACTCAGTGTAAAATAGACTCGCCCCTGTATTCTTATTTTTTCACTGGAGCATCATTTCTCTCAGCTTTTCATGTTACGTTATACAAAAAAATACAACAATTTCACATATAATTTCACTAAAATAATCTATCTATATATAAAATTCTTAACAATAACAAAGATACATCGAAAACCGATAACACTCGCGAATTTTATCAGTGATTGATGTTCTGGCTTTTCTTGTCAGTAATACACCATTGTGCATTTAGGTAAAAAAAATGTGGTTTGTTTACGTTTGTTGTGAATGAAAGCAACACTAATTGAAAATTAATATATATATATGTTTCAAAGAACGAAAATATGACGTTTCGGAATAGGTAAAAACTTTCAAGTATCGAGTGACGAAGAAATCGCTCGTAGCTTAGATCCAGAGAACAACAGAAATTACAGTGACGCTGAGAACGACAATGAAACGAAAAATATAAAAATTAGTACTATCGAAGTCTTGATTTCAATTTATTTCAATTTATTACAAAAGCACACGATGGCTTTGGGCTTAAAGGGAAGGATGCCTTTTTGGAAGACTTGTTATAGGAAACTGACTCATATATACTTTGCTCATTCAATTTTTTGCCAGGTGACCATGTTTATTTTGTGGGTTTCAATGAGATCGACTGTTCCATTTGCAACAACCCAATAATTATGTGGCAATATCATGTTTTTTATTACTACATTTTTAATAGCTTCTGTATTTCTGCTATACGGAAATTTATGTGAATCTCAGCTATTCAAGAGTGAGATTAAATACTACAAATTCTTAACAGCTGAATCATATGAAATTGCTGCCTACTGCAGAAGTTGCTTAATCGCTGTCAGGAGTTGTCCCTGTTTTGAGACTTGAGATTGACTTGGAGATCCCTCTGCTAGGGTTAAATGAAAGTTCACTTTAAGTGACAGAAACTTGTAAGTGTTCGATTCTATACACGAGTAGAGTGTGAATCGTTGGAGGTTGTAAGCCAATTATAATATATTTTATCACAAGAGAGCGAACTGGACAAGTTAATTTTATACATATTAAAGCTTAACCACAATTTGTTTTAGGGGGGAGAGAGCATAACTAGATTTTTAGTACTTGTTATTTATTTATTTGTGCAGGCGATAACTCGCCATAACACTTATGTAGGTAGCAGTTTATGACACGCTTATATAATTTGGACATCATGTCTAAGTTCTGACAAGAGCTAACTCTAAACAGAATACTTGCATAGAGAAATGAAAGCTAATTAGAATTCCAATATAAATAAGACATAAATATTTGTTAAAATAAATACAATAAACTTATAAATATTCTAGACTGAACAGAATTATACATATTCGAATATTTATATAGAACTATAAACAAACTTATAAATGTTCGTTAAAAGTACTGAATATTTTCAGTTTAAAGAATTATTAAAAAAGTATTGAATTTTTTCAACCTGGTACGTGTCCGGCATATCCTGGGACAGGCTTGGCAGGCCTATATAGCTGAAGATGATAGCCATCTAAGGTTACTGGTTCAGATGCATACACAACTGGACATTTGTACCAATCACTAATTTTTGGTCGCCTCTCAGCAACCAGACGTTCGAGTCTGGAACTTGTCAAATCGCATAGATCTTGATGAGCTCCTGCTGAATGTGTCACACCGGTGTCAAAACATTTGCCTGTGTAATAGCCAGTGTAACCTAAAAATGGAATAAAAAGGAATGAAACAAAGCGTTTAGGCCACATTTTCAAAACTAGATGGCAACCACAGGCAGATGCAAATTAACTTTCTCGAGCTATATCGCGACAGTAGAAAAAGATCGTCTGTTGCCTTGGTGACTTTCTTTTAGTTTTCACTCTTCTTTCTTTATTCAATAAATATGTTTTCAGGAATACAGTCCGCTTGAAGTTTTACTTATTTGCATACGTTCTACATACTATTTATTGGTTCGTCGAAGCTGCAGGACCTATGTATTTGTGAATTTTCAATTTATTTATGTGATGTTATTCAACAAAATTCACTTAGTTCTGTTTCGCTGGATTAAATTTTACAATTAATTAATGCAACAAAATTAAGCCCTCTGCACCTTGAATGAAAATATTACAGCCTCTGTTGGAACATAATAATGTATAATCATGATGCTAAACAATCCTATACTTGCAGTTCCCCTCCACCATTTTCTGACGATAAATTTCACAAGGTTGAACAGTTCTCGGATTCAAAAACTTGATAATGTCTCTTATTTCATAGCTACAGGGCCGGTGGATGTTTTTAACATGATTACCGACAAACAATGACTGCAAACGTTAACATAAACGAACAGAATGGCTAGGCTAATTCGTTCTCGAGTTGAACGATGTAACTAAGCATGCGCGATCTTCGTGCTGACAGATGCGCGGGAGATGTGAACAAACGGTACTTACTTTCTGGATCAGCTCTGTACAAATCGTCAGCTTTGTTCGTACCAGAATCAAGCTTTTATGTTTTACTTTTGCTGAGGAGTATAACATTTTCCTAAGCATAAGTATTGAGACCGGAAGAATGCATAAAAAGTTAAGATTCCGTTAAATTTCTAGCTCGCGCCTATATTCAGATGAGTTAGAAAGAAGAGACTATTAAAAAAACGTTTTAGAGGGTAAAATCAGAGCGTGTTCTGTCTGCCTGAAAGCAAAGTTGCTAAATTTGATTCTCTTGTGATTAACATTCTCCGGCATTGAGTGATTCTTGCCATTAAGCTTGTTTACGCCGAGCTTAGGTCACAGACAGTTTGCGCGTGTTTCATTTGTGAAGTCACTAGGCTAATTTATTTTCATTTAACATTAGTTCATACATTATCTTTAATTTAAGCCATAATTATTGACTTCTGTAAGCACAAGTTGGTCCGACTGTTAAACTTCATTTGAGTTAACAAAAGTGTGCTGCATTTAGAGGCCAGGCCGCCACGTGGTACAGATGCATTGGAAATTTTTTTTTTTTTTTTTTTTTTTTTTTTTTTAATACTTAGGCATCCGAAGAAGATGGTTCTTTATTTAAACCATCGAAAGTAGTCCTTCAAAATTTACAAACATTACGCTGATTCTTATTGTTTAATTTCTCCCATAAGCGTTATTCGACGTGTTATTTTAAACTAAAGTTAAAAGATATTTAATCAGTTTTGTCAATACTGAGTATTTCTGATTTCCATCCTCTTTCAGTCTGAATACTTGAAAACAAAATTTTACAATATCTGTTTCTATCTTTCTCTGTATAAGACAGACAGCAAAAGAACTTTTTTTTTAATAAAACAAACATAGATTGTTCTAGCAAGAAATTTGACTTTCTGCTGTATAAAGTTTCTACCCCCCCCTTTACACCGGCGTGAAAGCGTAATTGGAAAAATGCGTCCAGCTAGCGAACGAAAAACCCGAACCTCGACTCCTAACGACAGCATTACTCAATTTCTCACTCGAAAGGAAAAACATCTAAAAGATTTTACAACTAAATTTTATATAGTTTAAAAGTTTTTGAATCTGAAGGACATATACGGCCGAGCGTAGTAATAGCTTAGAGAGAGTGTAGCCAAAAGGCGAACGCGCGCTAGTCAGAATCTCTGGCTCTCTAACGAAGTCAGTGGAACTTCGACTTAAGTACTGCTCTTCCTTCATTTGCATTTAACCGCGATTCTAAAAACACACTATGGCCGGAAATTTGTAATCTGAAATTAGAAAGGATGGGAAAGTAACTTTAACTAAAGATAGCTGTTAAAAACGTAGGATAAACCTTACGGCTTAATAAAATTAATTTTACCAAAAGAATCACTTTACAGTTCTGGAACTTCCTAAAAAGTAGTTGGACAGATCTTCACAGTATCAACAAATTCAGTCACTAGCTACACTTCAGATTTCTAAGAACGCTAAACACAATACAACGCAAAACGCATCTAAAAAAAGCGAAGATCTCACTGATATCTTAATACTCCAAATTCAGCTTTGAACTTACAATTGAGAAACTGATGCTCTCTCCGGTCTTATATAGTTTTCCCCGACTGCCGAGAAATCTCTAGTACTTCTCGAAATTACTGGAAGGCATATGAAGGCCGAATGCAGTTACAGCTACACAGAGGATCAATTACAGTTATTCAGTTACAAACCCATTACAGTTATTCAGGGACAGGACCAAAATATCCTCCAAATGGTCGCAAAGTTTGGCGGCTCCTCGCCAAATTTGGTGACAAAAATTAGTCGCCAAAACCATCGCCAAGCGACATAGCCCCTGTATTCTTACTTTAGCATTCTTACTTAGCATCTTTACTTTAGCATTCTTTACTTAGCATCGCCTTTTTAGATTTTCATGTTACATTATACAAAAAAAGAAAACCCTACTGTTTCATGTATAATTTCATTAAAATTATTTATACATGTACACAATTCGTAACAATATTCTTCCTAATGAAGATTTTTCGAAACTCATTAACAGAAGTTCCATGTTTCCTGAAAAATCGGTCGAGTTAACATGCAGTTGCTAACCATGGTTGCTATTTAAATCAAAAAAATTAATCCTTCATTGTTAGTAGCTCCATTGTTTTAAGTGTTGAGGAGATTGAATTTCAAATTCAAACAGCAGTTAAAATGAAATGAAGGCAATATGAAACATCAAGTAAATTGGAAGACCTCGATGAAAGATAATATGAAGCGTATTTCGTTGCTACGCTGGCTGGAATGAAAAATTTTTGTAAGGTGAAGGCAGTGAATTTTCTTTAGGCAGCTGAATGTTGAATAAGGCAGAGATTTTTATTTCTCTTATTACTTTTGCACATTCTATTGACTAAAAAATAGAAAATAAAATATCTAAAATCTTTCTTATTAAATGGCATGAATGGTCTAAAATGCAAAAAGTAAAAAAATAATTTTTAGGATTCATAATATTGTGACTATTAAAATATTATTATGGGAGAACGAACAGCAGCGAATTTTAAATCACAAACCTTCAAAGAAAAAATTTAACTGAGTGAATGTAATTATTCTCATACATGTCTATTTCTATTCTGTCACATTTGTCGTTCCTAGGAATTCTGTTAAAAGTTGTGATACGGTTCGTTTACGGGCATTTCACCATTTTATTTTCACTCATATATAACCAAGAATTTTATGATAAGCAAAAATTCTTTACTTTCTAGTTCATTAACTACAATGAGTAATTAATAAAAGTTTTATATATTAAGCTATAAGTATATAGTATAGCTATATGTATATATTAAGCTCAAAAAAGAGAAAGGTTTGAAAGTTTTTAGATCTTATATTACGCCCAAAGGGACATTTTTTAATGTTTTGTGTGTTACTTTTATTTATTAAATTTTATGTTCTTCGCACTTAAACCATAAAATTCAACTCAACAACAATATCACAAAATAATTTAAAATGAGCATGTCTTTAGAATATCCGATACATAGTCTCGCGCGCCGCAAATTCCCCCCCCCCCCGTTGCTCGCTTTGAAATCGTCGAGTTTCTTAATCAAAAACTCATAAATGCTTTACAAAATATGAAATAGATAATAAAACAAATTCTACATTTGGATTTCCAGATGCCCATATTCAGGTGGAGGATTACGTTATTCAAAATTGGATGGCTCTAGGTACCGTTGTTTACCACAGTGTGAGAAACATACATACATTTATGCAGCTTCTTCATTATTTAATTTCTTTAAATATAATACAGGGCGATAATATTTTGTGGCAACAATTTGAAAAGTGAAACGCCGTTTGTAGTGAAATGCCACGAAATGCCAAAACGAAATTAATAGCCCTTCTGGGCTAACGGCCTTTTGGATAAAAAAGATAAACTACATGAGATTTTCCGCTGATTGAGGCTGGATTTGTCAAAGGGTCTTTTCTTTCTCTTAAGTTTCGAACTTGATTCTGCTACCGTAGGGGTAAATAAAAAGAGATTACTGCGCAGTGACTTTCGAAGCTGGCATGGCATAATGAACAACGATATATAATCCGTCCCGATCTGTAATATTACAATTCTTTATAATTGTCCTATTTTGTTTTGAAAGGTAAACACTTCGTAAAAGTGTACACAAATCGATAAAAGTTACTTATCGAGTTATTATTACAGGAGAAAATTCTCAATCCTGTTGCAAGCTATGAAAATTTCGACAAAAGTTTTAAATACAAAAGACATTTATCACTCAAATCACGTACCTGGCATATATGTTTTCCTCGGATCCAGATCACTCATCTCATAAACGGAAAGGCCATAATTCATGGGGTTTGTGAAAGTGGCGTAAGATGGAATATTTCTGTGGTGCGGCCTTTCGTGCAACCTCTTTTGGAAAACTATCGTTCTAGGCTGCAGAAAGAGGAAAGCTTAAATTGCAATGAAATCAGACAATAAAAAAAAGGACATATGCAAATACATTTAGGCAATCAGGACATGGAAAAAATAGAACTATACAAATATTTTAGTCGCGTGGTAGATACATACGGTTTATCGTATTTACTACAGATGGGATATTCGTGAAATAATTCAAAGAAGCATTTCACTTTGCTTAGGAGCGAAAGGTGATCCAACAAAGCGAAATGGTAGCTGCTTTAAAGTTACCCTCAGTGAGATTTTGTTGGAAGCGTGCGAGGAAGATTTGAATCTTATTTTAGAGAAGAAAAAATGTTTCTACTCTCATATAAAAAGGAAAAATTTCCAAATTTTTAACATTATTTTATTCCAAAACTTTGTTGTCAATTCTGAGTAGAAAGAAAGTTTTATAGAATCTCAAAACTGCAGTTCAAAAAAATCAAACCTGGGACTTATTTCTTCTTTGATTGATTCGATTCTCCCGATCTTATTCCTTGTTCGATTCTTTCCGCTCTTTACTGCGTTTTCGCCCACTCCTCTTGATCAACTCCCCATTCCCAATATTATTCATCAGGGTTCTTGTAAATAAGCTGGTGAGCAGGATCGGATTTAGATTTGACGAGATCCTAAGCTATTTGAGATATGGGGTCCTTTGTAAGAGATATGAGTCGAGTCAATTTTTTTTATATGGGATATGGTACAATTTTGGGGGGAGGGTGGCTGCAAGAAAATGAGGGCTCTAAGTTACAGCTTGTGCAGCTTATACGTAAATCCGGCACTGGCGGTGAATCATAAAAGGCAACCGATTCAGCTCAGTGAATGAACGGTTTTGATGTAATCCCATAAAAGTGTTGTTTTGCTCACTATTAGTACTTAGCAGCCGCTTTACTAAAACTGACAACATTTTGCAGAGGCTTAATTATCGGTTTATTTTGAACTGCGCCTTAATTTAAAACTGACCCATGAAAGCAATGACTGTAGTAACAACAACGACAGGCTATAATTTCAGAAGCATATCATGGAAACACGTTCGATGTATCGGTATTTTACTAATTAGATCTTTTGATCTATGGAATTCACATAGAAAAATATATTTTACTTTACAAGAAGCTTAAAAATTACAGGGTTGAAACTATTTTCATAAAATGTCAGTCCATTTTCAAAAATTTTGTTAATTGGAGGGCTGCCATGGGAAAGAATACCAGTTGGTTGCTTTTAGAAAATCCAGGTATATTAAGTCTAGGTAACCAAATGTATATTTTAAAAATCAAGTAAGTTCCTAGTACTTTTTTATGATCAAAATATTACCTAAACATATTCAAAGAATGTTTCATTTATGGCTTAAATGTAAGCATGGAAATCACGAAACAGCACTTAGCAGGTCTTCATACCCGCTAAAGTTTATTATTCATTACTTACCAGTATATCAGCCGGTGGTACATATTTACTGCAAATGTCTCTACAAGAGTTTTCCCTTTTCATTCTTTCAAATTCTGCATTGCCCCTTCGACATCTCTCTTGATAGTTCTTTCCGCAATAAAAATCCTTTCGAGGCACGTGACCTATTCCGAAAATGATATCGATTACTTCGAGAAGTGTCGTGACTATGTATCGTTCGCCCTAAAAAGAATAAGTAACAAATCACTCACGTCGCCTTCTCAAAGATCTAATATTACGTATTTTGTTTGAAATAAAAACCAATTACCAAATATTTCATTATTTGGTTTTTTTTGTAAGATCTTAAGTTTTACTAACGTTTATTTTATTTTAAATCTTTACTATCACTTCTTATTTTCTACTTCCGGCCAGAATTATAAGCGTTAAGGTATTTATGCAAAGTTTGTCTGGCGAACGCCAAGTATTTAAGTTGTGGCTTTTTGCCAAGCGAGAGAGAGGAAGCAGTTGAGTCGAAGCAGGCCGCTTACCTTAGAAGTTTTACTCAGTTGCTGGTTGCCTTCCAGGCCAGAGGTTTTAATCCTCTTGATAAATTTTAAACGTATTGTAGTGTTCACAGTTCTCTGTACTACATACGGCTTCCTGTTAATATAAGGCCAATCTTCCACGTTTATTATTCTAAAGTTAAATTAGAGTTTAGTTTATTTTTATATTTTACGTTTAGACCACAAGTAGCGGGTCTCAGTGTATTCCGAAGTACGGAAGTTAGTACGGAAGTTATTGTAATAGAGAAAAATAAAGGGTTTTGTATACCCTTCTTGTGTATCCTGTCTACTTCCCACAATTATTGAACATAGCTTTAGTAAGCTCTCTGTTCCGAGTCAGGTCCTTGCATGTTCCCGAAGAAAGGTAAGACGGAACATTGAACCTGATAGTGGCGCCCAACGAAGAAGAATAACCATGGCCGAGTTTCAAGAAGAACCTGTGCTGCCTGCAGAGAAACGGCTCAGAATCCAGAAATGCCAGCTGCCGCCCTGGAAGGATTTGGTTACATCGTCCAGACCATGCGCGCTTCGATGAAACCAGAAGCAACATTTAATGGAAACTCACCGGTAACCAGTTTTTTGGAAAAATTGGATGACCACTTCATGCTCTACCCCGTGCACGAATTTCAAAAAGTTACCTTAGCTACCAGCGCTTTGAGGGGCCAAGCGCTTAACTGGTTCAAATGTATAGGCAGAAGTCTCTTGGGTCAAGCAGGAAGTCCCACCTATACTTACGAAAATTTCAAGACTGCCCTACTAAAAGCCTTCCCTGTTGTAAGGGATCGTGCGAAATTAGAAACGGAACTTTTCAGTATATATCAACAAAGAATCGAAAATCTCTCAAGCTTTATTTTAAGAAAAATTCACGTCTTCAAACTCTTGTATGGAAACCGTCCGGATCCTGAGATAATTCAAGTGATTTTGCCGAGGAGGTTACTGCCCCAAGTGCAAGACTTTATTGAATTAAGAAATCCGACTACACTGGAAAAGTTATTTGAGCTAGCAATCCAGTTTGAAAGTAGAAGAACGGCGGACATTGAAAGAAGACGCCAATATCAACAGCGAAACCAATTTGGTGCGCCAAGACTACAGCAAACTCAAGCACACGGCTACGGAGCAAAGCGAATCAGTGGGCAAGGAAACCCGAGCATTCAAAAACAGCCGGCGAACGTCGACAGTTCAATAGCAATCCAGGAAAAAAGTCTCAAGGCCAGTGGAAAAAGAAGGAAAGCACGGAAATGAAAAAATAATTTAAACTAAAACGGATTTCTGCTGACGGGAGGGTGCGGAAATCCGAAGGCCACGAAAACCCCTCTTCCTTCAAGTTAAATACAGTAATGGTGAAAAATTTGACTCTTCCGAAGATTGAAGTGTTGGTGAATAATATCCCAGCCACCGCACTCCTGGATACAGGCGCGCAGTGTTCCTGTGTGGCAGAAGATTTTTTTAGGAAGTATTTTCGTAAATACCGCATATATAATTCGGATAATACGACAGTGTTAGCGGCGCAAGGAGAAAAATGTAAGTGTATAGGTAAAGTACCGCTGTATGTCCGTATCAAGGACGAACAAGTAAAGGTTGATGTTTTTTATAGTAAAGAATCTGCAAGCACATATTAATCTTAGGAATAGATTTTCTTTCAGAGGCACAAGCAACGCTGGATTTTAATGAAGCGTCCCTTAAGCTGACAATGAAACCAGTTCGTACAGAAAAGGCTGAACCGCCGATGTTAAATCTTGACCACCTGCCTAATGACGAGCAACGAAGAATCCGACAAGTGGTAAGTGAATTTGCTTCGTTATTTAGTGATATTCCAGGATTTACTCAGGTTACTAACCATAGTATTGACACCGGAGATTCAATGCCAGTTCGCCACAAAGCATACCGGTATGATAAGAATAAGGAAAAAATTATAGAATGGCATATCACCGATATGCTACGTAAAAAGATCATAACGCCCATCTCAAGTAGTTATGCTAGCCCGGTGGTTTTATGTAAGAAAAATAATGACTATCCTTTGACACATCCAAAAAGGTGGAGATTCGCAATTGACTACCGTAAATTAAACTCCATAACTAAATATCCGGTATATCCGTTACCTATATTAGAAGAAGAAATTCTAAGGAACATAACATCCACCAAATATATGACGACTTTAGACTTAACGACTGGTTATTTTCAAATAGGGGTTAGGCCTGAGGACGTGCCTAAGACTGCTTTTATAACCAAGTCTGGCACTTATGCATTTTTGCGTATGCCGTTTGGCCTTTCAGGGGCCCGGCAACATTTCAGCGATGTATGGACATTGTGTTAAGACCTGTTCTTGGAAAGTCCACATTTATCTATTTAGACGATATCATTATTACTAGTGATAATCTCGACCAACATGTACAGGATTTAAGACAGGTGTTTTCTTTATTAAATGAGGCCGGTCTAAAAGTTAATGTCGAAAAGTGCAAATTTGCAGCCCCTGAATTAAAATATTTAGGTTACAAAATATCTCAGAAAGGAATCGAGACAGACGAATCAAAAATAATCGCTGTACAAAAGTATCCGACTCCAAACACGGCAAAGAAGCTCTCTTCTTTTCTAGGACTTTGTTCATATTATAGGTCCTTTATAAAAGATTTTGCAGCTATTCGCTGAAGCCATTGTTAAAATTAAAAAGAAAAAAGGCAAGATTCTCGTGGACGGCCGAAGCCAATAGTGCTTTCGAAAAATTAAAACAAGCATTAACGCAAGCCCCTGTGTTGAAATTTCCTGAAAAGGATGAGAATTTAGAAATTTCAGCGGATGCTTCGGATTATGCGGTAGGAGCGGTACTTTCGCAAAATCAGCAGCCCGTGGCATTTTTTAGCCGAACTTTAAATCAAACACAAAGAAACTATTCCGCGACCGAGAGAGAGAGGCACTTGCAGTTCTGTTAGCAGTGCAAAAGTTCCGAGTCTATTTTGGAAAGGCGCCAATAACAGTGTACTCTCTGATCATGCGGCGGCGGTAACTAGATTGTACTCAGGGAAAAAAACTTATCCCCAAGGTTAATAAGATGGGCACTCAAGCTACAAGAATATAATCTGGTAATCAAGCATACCCCCGGAAAGGAAAATATCGTAGCAGATGCCCTATCCAAGAATTAAAATAGATGAACAAGGTAATACCGTAAAGGTGGCAATGCTCACAGCATGTACAATAAATTCCCGAGAAACTGTAATAACCGAACTGGGTAAGGATCCTGAGTTTGGAAGCATTTATGAGTATTTAAAGGATCCTGAAAATTTTAGCCACCAAGATATTGTGGCGATAAGAAATAGGGCGGCCCATTACGAACTAATAGATGGTCTATTATTTATACAAAAACTACGAATTCCAACAACGAATTTCGACCTGTTATCCCAGCTAGTCTTAGATTAAATATCCTGCAGGAGCTCCATGACAGCCCTTTAGCTTCTCATGCTGGTATTCGAAAAACTATCTAACGCGTACACGAGGCAGTCTACTTTCCTGAACTGCAAAAGTTAACAAGGGCGTATGTCCAGTCCTGCCCAACATGTCAAGCAGTTAATTATATTAATTTCCGCCCGGCCCGGGTTTCTAAATAGTATTAAATCCGATTTTCCAAATGAAATAATTGGCATCGATTTATTGGGCCCTTTCCCAAAAAGTCAGTTAAATAAAAGTCGCTATCTCCTTGTTATGGTTGATCATTTTAGTAAATGGACCGAAATTGTTCCCTTAAAACGAGCCTCCGCGAAATTAGTTACTGATTCTATTTTAAATAAATATATTTTAAAATACGGGGCGCCCCTAAAAGTTATATCGGATAATGGTCCTCAATTTGTAAGTAATATATTTGAAGACATGTGCCAAAAACTGGGCATACGTCATTTAAAAATGGTCCCGTATCGGCCGCAATCAAATATAGCGGAACGGGTCAATAGAAATATAGTGAAAATTATCCGTAGTTATGTTAAAAATTTTCATAAAAGCTGGGATAACTATGTCAATGAATTTGCTTTCGCCCTTAGGACCGCAAAACATGATACAACGGGCAAAACTCCTGCTGAGTTATTTTTAGGCAGAAAGATTATAACGCCGTTAGATAAATTATTTTATGTGCAACAAAGAGCCCCAGAATTTAAAATGGGTGATTAAAATGGGTGATATAGAAAAACTAATTAAAAGAAGCAAAAAAGAATACGGAAGTAGCACAGAGAAAACAGAAGCTCTATTATGACTTGAAACGACGGGGAGTAACTTATAAAGTAGGGGATGAAGTTTTAAAAATTAAGCATTCACTTTCTTCAGCACCAGAAGATAAAACTGCCAAATTTTTTTCCACGATTTGAAGGACCATATGTTATAGAAAAAAATAACTCACGCTGTGTTGTAGTAGTGTTAAAAGCCAGAAATGGTGAAACCTGCTCCGCAAACATTGATCAAATCAAACCCTACTATGATCGTAATAAAATGCAAATATTTTCAGATCTTTTGCAGGATCCGGCACGGCAGACACCGCAGGCACAAGCTCCAGAGGTGGAAAACAACGACAAGTACAAGGGCAAGCCATTAAGAGGCAGGAGCAAGTGAAAAGAAAGTTTCCCCGCGGAAAAATTGAAGGTAACAAGAAAAAGAAGCCGTTCCACCGTCCAGAAAAGAGAGTTCACGAACACCCCCAGAATGAAGAAGGGAGAAGGACGACGTATGTGAAGAGAACCAGGGAGAAATGACGGCAACTATAACCCGGCTCTAAAACGGAAGATCTACTCATCCGACAGGACTCTCCGCAGCAAATGTCGCCGAACTGCGGAAGGGCCATCAGCGGCGGAGGAAAAGTTACAAGGAAAATTTGAACGGCCAGCAACGAGGTCCAAGCAGGAACACGAAAGAAGTTTCCCGGTTCCGCCAAGACCAGCTGCCATCAAACGGCCAAGACCACAAGCAGAGGAGAAAAAGAAGGTATTCAAGGGTGACCGAACTGGTGAAAAAAGGAAGCTTCTAGAGGAAGGCACTGAAGGGCGAGCCCGTACAAGAAGGAGGATAAATCAAACTACTATCTGCACTACCTTTAAGGACTGGGCCCAGAAAAGGATGTCCGAATATCACAAAGATAAGTAAAATTTTATGTTACTTTGCAAACTTAAGTTAATCTTTCATTCTTACTGCAAGTGGCAGATTTCAAGAAGTTTTACCTCATGCGAGGTCTACCTTTATCGCCAAAAGGGCGAGAAATGAGTTGTTACCGATTTTGGTATTATGTTTTTCAATTACTCGCGCGTAAAACTAAAGTTGATGTATAATAGCGTTGTGTAAAGACTTAAATATTGTAAAAAGTTATTGTATAAATTTTATTTAAAACATTCTGGCAAGAAAGAAGTTTTAGTCTGAAAGACTTTTTGAAATGTAGTATTATTTCAATGTAGAAAGAATTGGCACTTGCTTTGAAAAGAATAGAAGTTAACAATGTACTACTAATGTATGTTTTCAAATGTGTAAAATTAACGGCATGTTAATATGTTCTTATATACAATGTGAACTGTTATTTTAAATGTTAAGAAATACCGTGATATGGTAAAAGTGAAAGTAATGTTTAAAATTTTTTATTCGTGTGACTGTAAAAAGACTAAATCATGGTGAATATGTGTGTTAAAGGTTGAATGATGTAGTTAGGCTCTCTGACGCTACACTTTCAGAGTTAGCCACTTTCAGAATAGTACCTCAGGGTTTAGAGTTGAAATTAGGGTGTGTTAAGAGGTCTTGGTTATGTTGAATTTTAACACGTTAGTGTTTTGATTGTAGGAGGAAGTGTGGAACACGTAGACAGAAAACACATTCGTGTTTGGTGTTCTTTTACAACACATGTCAGAGAGCACGGGGAGAGATAATTAAAATAGTCATGAATGAAATAAGAATGTTAAGAGAAATATAATTGTACATGTTACTTGCCATTTCATTGTGTAACATTTCATTAAACTAGTTTTCCTTCCAGATCTCTGGAAGGAAGGAACCAGATTTGAATAAAAGCTCCTGTTTAGATGCAGTACAGATGAAAAAAAATTGTGTATATCCTGGGAGCTGCTATTGTAAAAACAAATTTCTTTCTTTTAAATTTCTAGTTTCTAGCGAAAAATGTTTGTAAAAGATTGGCCTCGCGTTAGATTCTAGAGCTAAAAGTTTTCAACAAGGTCGTTTTAGACCTCAGTTTCAAACTAATTAACTCTGGCGGGAAGTATGTAAGGATCTTAAGTTTTACTAACGTTTATTTTATTTTAAATCTTTACTATCACTTCTTATTTTCTACTTCCGGCCAGAATTATAAGCGTTAAGGTTATTTATGCAAAGTTTGTCTGGCGAACGCCAAGTATTTAAGTTGTGGCTTTTTGCCAAGCGAGAGAGAGGAAGCAGTTGAGTCGAAGCAGGCCGCTTACCTTAGAAGTTTTACTCAGTTGCTGGTTTGCCTTCCAGGCCAGAGGTTTTAATCCTCTTGATAAATTTTAAACGTATTGTAGTGTTCACAGTTCTCTGTACTACATACGGCTTCCTGTTAATATAAGGCCAATCTTCCACGTTTATTATTCTAAAGTTAAATTAGAGTTTAGTTTATTTTTATACTTTTACGTTTAGACCCAAGTAGCGGGTCTTGTATTCCGAAGTACGGAAGTTATTATTGTAAAGAGAAAAATAAAGGGTTTTGTATACCCTTCTTGTGTATCCTGTCTACTTACCACAATTAGTGAACATAGCTTTAGTAAGCTCTCTGTTCCGAGTCAGGTCCTTGTATGTTCCCGAAGAAGGTTAGAAGGAACACTGACTCTGATACTGTGACAAATGTTTAATGTTTATTCACTAGGAGAGAAAGCAATGAAATGTCTTCTCCCGAGATTAAAATTAAATTTTCCATCATTAAATTCTCTATTATAAGATGTTATTAGCTATTTAGAACTGGGGATGCTTTCCAAAGATAATCGTCCTTTTAGCAACAGTAACTATTTTGAAAAGTAGTATGTTTAATCTAAAAAAAAACATGGAGGTAGGAAGTAAGCATAAAAGTTTTGCTAAAATCTATGTTATTGTAGTTCAACAGCTTATAATTTTATAAAACAAATTCATAATCAAAAATCGCTGTTGTTAGTATTCAAAAAATAATCGAAATGTGATTTTTGCGTAATGTCATTAAACTATACAAATTGCTATTATCCATCACACAATGAATGTTTCTTTTATGCGGAAGTGTCCCGTTTTTTGATTTGTATGCAACTGTCGCGCGTCGAAATACTATCAAAGCGCTGTCAAGGGAGCTTCTAAATGTAAACAAAAAACACCCCATCTGGAAACCAAAGCCTCGGAGCAGTGCTTCACTTCTAGCGCCGGTTGGCCACTCCTTCCTTTCTTACCTCCATGAGAAAAAATTCTGAAGGGAGACTGATTTATCAACTTCAGCGTCAAACATTTCAACAGAAAGATTAAATCTTTAGCTTTTCGGACATAAAATACATCTTTTCAAACAATGGACAATTTGTATATAACTGATACAACACAATACTTCTGCCGTGCTCAGGATTCTGTATCATTTACTGCACACTACAGCGCGCATTTTTACCTGTATATCCAGTTACCATGTCGTTCCGCAGTGTAACACATTGTGGAGACTTTTCGTGACTTCTCACGTACATGTCATAATCGAAATTTCTTTTCCTGTCATCTGATGAGCATAATATGTTCCCAAGCCTGCCTCCAGCCACAGGGTGTCTCGACATTATATGATGAGTCATGTTACCATATGTTTTTCCAAACTGGTAGAGCTTATGTGGACCGAATCCTGGAAGGTACCCTGTGTATCTGAAAAAAGAAAATGGTTTGAATGCCTTTTTTTTCCCCTAAAATCTAATATGTGATAATTTACTGTTAAGAAATCAAATCTACACTGTATGAAAGACAAAAATTCTTTTAAAGTTTTATCGAATCCAGACACGAAGTGCCTGAAATCTAATACCATAATATAAAATTTCAAATTTATCTGCCCTAAGATTAAAGAAGTATTTTTCTTGATATCCGATTAAGTTAAGAACATCTAAAACTGATTAACCCTTTCCGCCAGGCTAACTTTTAAAGTCCGAGTTTTGATTTAAAAAAAGGAAGGCAGTCTAATTAGGCCTAGAGGAGTACACAAGTAAAATTTTGTGAAGATAGCACTTATCATTTTAATTCTGTGGGTGTGCCCAAAGTGGCACACTGATTGAATAGAGCTTTGAAAAGAGTGCTGAAACGAGCATTGTTGTCAATGAACTTACCGATGAGATGCGGAGAAACAAAGAATACAGGCTCTCAGTTGTCCTAGATTATCGATGAGCTCGGTCTGGGCACACCTAGGGTTTGCCGTTTGATTTTAGGCAAGATTTCAAGGTAACAATTTAAAACTAATATAGAATAAGGAGATTAGCATACAGCCAAAATATAACATTGGAATTTCTTTTCAAACAATTCCTTTTATACCCTAAAAAAATCTGGAAGATTTCTTTGAAAAATGAGGGTCTTAAAAAAACTAAACATGGCTAAAATATATGGACTGGTTTGTGTTGAGCTGCCATCTGCTATAAATAAAGAAGGTTCAGAGTAACCTATAGTAACCTATAAATCCTTTTTAATTCAATTTTTGTGCGTACAGAAGGAAATTTTTACGTGTGTGCAGACGGGACACGCTGTGCCGCAAAGGATTAATTTAGCAACTTTCATTGCATAAATGCATGAAATGGCTTATAGGACGCAAATATAGAATACGCTCTTTGCTCATTCATAAGAAGCAACAGACACTTTTCCTTTCTATTTAGGTAAAAAAAAGTAGCAATTATCTCTAAAAATGGTTCTTATACCGAAGAGAAAATAATAAAATGTATATCGTAAGCTTTAAGAAATTCTGTGTCAGAAAAGTCCACAGAAACAAATTTTTAATATGGTGGACTGACTGTAAGACTAATAGCCTTATTAATAAGTTATTGATGAAAACTATAATCTAAACAGAAGACGAAACTTTACCTAGAATAAAGATAAGAAAAGGCGCAGTGTCATTTTTGAATATAACATCTTACAAAGTTTCAAAAAATTGGATAAGGATATCGAAATTCATTTTACATTTTTGAAGAAGTCCCAGCTTTTCTCAATCTCCCTTGTAACATTTTTCGATGTAATATTTGCCCGATTCAGATTCTAGTTTAACTCCCGAAATAATTTGAAAGTAAACAGTTGCAATAAGCTTACTAACTCTTAAGATTTAATTCCAAGATCTACTAGGTAAAAAACCGTATGTAAAATAATATATCTAAAACATGTTCTTCTAAATAGTAATGCCAAACAATCGAAGAAAAAAACCTTTGGATGAAACCATTTAACGCCACTTTGAAGCTCATGGACACTTATTTTATGAAGTAAAGATTTAATTACTCAAACCATAAATGGTCATACTTTTTCCCCCATACATCGCTTGCATACGTGGCGTTGACAAATGTTTACCGCAAGTGAAGAGGCAAAACTAATACTTTTGCCATCACACCGAAATTCATGCTATTGAAGTCATTAATTCAAAAAGGCATTAAGCAGTGAGTAAGCTCTCATTTCGAGTTGATTTTTAGTGAATAAATAATATACGGATTTAAACTATGCGTTTTAGCAATTACTGTGTAATCTTGCAAATATATATAAAAACTATCATTCGGATATATTTTATTACAAATTACAAAAGTTAGAGCACTTGCCTGTCACTACCGAAAACTCTGGGAACGTTTCAATGCTGTTGTAATGACAATTGATAGGAAAATATTTCAAAAAGTGAGGCGAACTTGATTACGCTTGGATGTGCGTTGTGTACCATACAGAAAACGAAGCACACACAGAGTATTTTTGTATGGAAGGAAAACTCAGATGGGGATATTTTTCATATAGTACTTAATTATTGTTGTACGAATAATACTTTTAAAGATATATTGTTTTGGAATCTTATGAATCATTTATAGTAATTCTAAGAAAAGCTTCCTTAGCTTTTAGATAATACTCTAATGAACATATTTACCAAGAATCTGAACTCAAGATTCACGCCGGAACGGGGGAGGATTTCTTCAAAAGAATGACTGAAATTAGCACTACAAAATATAGGAGCAAAACGGGGGGAAAAATACAAAAATGGCTGTCAAATCCATGTCGAAAAGAATAAATCATGTTTTAAAAACTATGATACATCAATAAAATATTCGAAATTTTTAAATCCTAGATAAATAGACATTATTATCAATCGACGATGAAGAAGATGTTTCATTTATCTTCATTCCTATTAAAATGCGTTGCCTAATTCAGTGGAAGCTTATCACTTTAAATGTTATACTACCTATATTTATTACCAATATAAGTATTAATAGGTATTATTGTACCTATATCATATTATTTATGATATGCAATACTTAATACTACTATATTCAGTGGAAGTTTATCACTTAAATGTTGTACTACCTATATTTATTACCAATATCATACTATTTATGATATGCAATAATACTTATTAATACTATATTCAGTAGAAGTTTATCACTTAAAATGTTGTGCTACCTAATACTTATTACCAATATCATATTATTTATGATATACAATAATACTTATTAATACTACATTGGTGATAAATTATAGGTAGTAGAACATTTTAAGTGATAAACTTCCACTGAATTAAGTAACGCATTTTCATAGGAATGAAGATAAATGAAATAGCTTATTCATCGTCGGGTACACCTGTATTACGTAGTAACACATGTTTGTTACACTGGAAGAGAAGTAATTCACTTAGTAAAATTATCAGTAGTCACCTTTGGGAGATTATATCAAAGTACACTAGGGTACCTGCCTAAGGGAAGAGATGCCTTCGTAAAGGATTTTCCAAAGGAAACTGACTCACATACACATTACACATGGGGAGAAAACCACGAAAACGGCGATGCAGCCAGCCTATTCGCCTGGAATCGATTCCAGGTCAGAACTAACAGTGTTCAGCGATTTTACCACTCGGCCACTAATTAGTCACCTTCAAAACCTAACAACAATTTTTCTATTTAACAAAAACAATTTACATGAATGCATGCGTCTGCACGCAAGCACGAGCGGAACTGCATTACTAACTTCCATATATATATATGTATATGGTTACAATTATATATATATACAATTTCTTGAAGGTTTGTTTTAGGTATATGAAATAATGCAATTAAATAAATAGTTAAAAAGCAAATAATAGTTCTAAACTCCAGTTATGGTTAAATCGCTACAACCCTAAAAGCACTTCTGAATGAGCATTATTGCCAGAAAGAAGTAATAACGCAAGTCAATATAAAAAGATTAATGAAAAGCAATTAAATGTAATGGGAAACATCTCGACAAATGGACCTTGTAGATAGCAAAACGCCAAACTGTAAATATTGTATACATTGTAAAAATATCTTAGAATTCAATCATTTATTAATTGTGCAACTATCTTGTGGTCAAGTAAATCTTCTAGTAGTAAAATGTAAATCTTGTGGTCGAATAAAAATAAAGGGCAAAAGTTGTTTACTCGATTACAAAACAAACAAATTGTAAAGAAATTAGATTACAAAGACAAATAAAATTATTGTTGGACTAACTAACTAATCTTCCAGTCAGGGAAAAAAAAAAAAAAAAAAAAAAAAAGATTGGAAACAAAAATAAGCAACCAAGGGATTGGCAAAGACAAGAATAACATTCCTAATCTGTAGTGGCTTTTAATGGGGGACAGCCAAAGAATCTTTAGTTATAAAGCGGCTAAAGTGTGTGTCGCCGATAGTTTATTGTTGCCACTCGGAAAAATGAGCGCGGAAATTAACGTTTCCGAAGTTTTTAATTAATATCTCGGCCGATTAAAGTCGTACGAAGATGAGAACGTTATCGATGGATTTGGAGAATTTTTAGAATGCGAGGATGCGGGTCTCGAATTTCAACTCGGCGCAATTCCGTAGATATTCGAGAAAAAAGAATTTGGCGTAGCCAAATCCCTTAAGAGAACCCAAAAAAAGTGGAAAATGTAGAGCGACGTAGGGAAATTGTTTTAGTTAATATCTCGGCTTCAGTCCCAAGAAGACGCGATGGTCAAATGGAGGCCCACGTACTGCGAAATCCACTGTGTGCTTCACTAAGTCCGGGCCCCGTTTCGGAGGAGATGATTTACTTCTCCCCCATATATGTGCGGCTTAAGTGTCTATTTGTCGCCGATATTTTATTGGTTGCTTGCGTAACTGTACTACCAATGGGATGAAGTTGCCGTTCCCACCCATATATATTATGCGGCTTAAGTGTCTGTTTGTCGCCGATATTTTATTGGTTGCTTGCGTAACTGTACTAGCCAATAGGGTGAAGTTTCCACGGCACAGGGTTGCCGTTTCAATTGAGATGTAGACAATTTCCTGTAAAGCTTGCCTTTGCTATGACTATCCATAAGTCTCAGGGGCAAACGCTTAAGCCTGTTGGCATTTTTTACCTGACCCTGCATTTGGACACGGTCAAATTTATGTTACCTGCTCAAGAGTTTGTGAAAGAACAGACGTAAAATTAAAAATAATAGATGATCCTCTGCAAGGCGAGCTTAAAAATGATCGAAAGATCTACACAAGAATTGCCGTGTACAAAGAGATCTTTGACATATGATTAACATTTCATTATTTAAATCACCTTTATTGATTGAGTTAGCGGTGGGCTCTTGAAATGTACCGCCAGTGGTTTCCTTCTTGCACTCTACTTTAAAGCATTAACAATAGAAGGGGGAAACCCCGGGGAGGCAAGTAAGCAAAGGGGCGTCCACGCCGCCTGCCCTGGGTAATTAAGTTTAAATTAGCAGACACCTTTGCACAAATCATTTTAATTACAATTTATAATATCTAGAACAGTGGTCATATCGTATGACAGCCAGGCTTTCTAGTAAATAAATAAATGTCCTAAATATAACGGATTTCTTACATTAAGACAATTGCATATTTCTTATTATACTGCTTCTGGATGATATCATCTGCGCGCAGAAAAGAATGAATGGTTATATTGAAATTTAATGCTAGTATAAAAATTGTAAGTCTCTCTTTATAAGGTTTTATGTTAGCTAACCATGAAAGTTAGCAAGTTATCGTCTTATTATTTTGGCTGTACTTCTATTTTCGTTAACTTCCACCAGAATGAAAATAAGTATAAATAAGGACAGAGTTTTTAAGTTTAAATAATTAATAAGAGTTTAAAGTTTAAATAAACTGCGAATTGTCCAAATAATATACGTTATCTAGGCGTTATCATTAACTAAAAGCTCATATGGACATGTCATATTAAGCCACATCATAGCCATAGGAAAAGTGTCTGGTATCGCCAACCAACCTTCTGTACTTCCTCGGAAATTACTCTGGACTGCTTCTCAACAAAAATAGGATTTACATATGCATTATAAGTATGCGTGTCCATTCTATGCTACGCATCTGCAGCCTGAGCTTCAGCCTCAAGGGCAGACTTCCGCAAACTTCAGGTAGTATAGAATAAGATTCTGAGAAGAATTGCCAAATGCTCATTAACTGATTAGAAGCAAACTGATCTACTGATGACTTGAAAATCGACCCTATAGTGGACCACATTACTAAACCTAATAAAGCGTTTCTTCAAAACTGGACATAGCTGTGATGCTGCAAATTTTCCAGAAGTTCTTAGTTACCGAATCATTCCAGAAGACAATTTGCTACTTACATGCTTAGAAATCACAACTTCGTAACTTAGCTTTAGCAACGTTTACTTGTTTTCTTGCGCGGCTTGACTTTTGTCTCTTTTGTCTCTCGTCGCTTTTCATTAGATTGGCACACATACAGTACAGGAGACAATGGTCTGCTTACATTTTACATCACTTTCTTGACCGTTCTTGGAATTTATGCCTTTGTGGCTTGGCCTGTCCCCTCATAGCCATATGGCAGATTTCGCCTGCTAGGTGGGCTGGGGGCCAGTGCTTAGAACTAACTAACTAACTTCATCAAATGTCGCCGTTATTCACTCCAAATCTACGAACCCCGTACGAACGTGAAAGAAAGAAAATAACGTAATATAATCCCTTTAGATGCAAAGAAAATTTTCTTTTGAACAGAGAGTTTTATGTCACATTTTAGTATTCTTGCATAACAGTTTTTTTGTAATTTTATTGTAAAATCTTACAAAATTATGCTATAATGAAAGCAACATAAATATTTACTTCTTAAATAAAATAATGAATAAAGAGCTGTTTTCATAAAAATTGAAGATGGCTTGTTTACAGGTTCTCTGATTCAAAGTTCATTGTTTCCCCCCCCCTCCCCGTTGCACGGATTTCGAAACTTTAAAAAAATAAATATCGTTAAAAATAATGGATTAATTTTTTGTTGAAATGTAAATAAATACATTTATAAGGTGTTTCTCCCACTTTCCTAGCGTCCTTCGTGGTGTAGTAGTTCAGCACGCTGGGCCGGTATTCCAGAGGTCCGTGGTTTGATTCCCGGCGAAGGCGGTTGCATATTTTTCATCTTTTCTGCTTCCAATTAATTTAATGACTCTACACATTTACTAAGAGTATAAAATACTAAAGTAAAGTTTTTACTTTGATATAACAAAGAAATAGAATAAAAACACCTCTATAAAAACATTGCGCCAACGTTTAATTGAATTAAAATATTACTTAAATTGAATATCGAATTAAAAACATCTACCAAAGTTTAAAGAATAAAATATTATTTAAATCAAATACTTTAAACAGGTTTATAGGATAACAAAACATTAAAACATATGTGGCAATAAATATCTCAGCATATTTTGAAAAACAGTGTATTAATTTTTTAATAAAAATTGAAATATACAATTATAAAGTAAAAGAAAAATATGTACTTACAATTTTTTGAGTGTTTTACCTGTCTTATATTCATAAGTACCACAAAAAAATCGGAATCATAATTTAGATATCAATGAAAAAAATTTGTCGGTAAAAAAGGAGGAATGTCTAATACATTTTTTACCCTTACAGCGGTTATTTCTTCCACAATACCATATACGGCCGTCCTCAGAATTGGCTCTTTTAACGATATTCATCTGTGATCCACATTATCTCGCACTTCATTGAAGAAAGCAATTAGCGAGGTTTCCTCCAAAATTTTATAAATTTCCTATGACCCTTGTAAAATTTATAAAATCTTTGATTAGGAAGCCAGGGTGGCGAAAATAAGGTCTCAAAGGACAATTTTTTTATTCCGATGCTAATAATTCTTGGTAATTACCAATAACAACATTCATCTTCGAAACGGACATATCCATTCGCTTTGAATTCTAAGGAGTTCGAAGAGATGACTAATAAAATTTCAATGGCGCGGTAATGCACAAATATTCAGTAACCAATCAGGGAGCTGATTACATCACGCATAGAATTAAAATTATTACAGCGTTACGGCCCTCTCAGCGCGGGAAAATTCCGCATAGAAGGCTGCCTTCTATATTCATTATACATGAAAATTTCTGCTAATTTTTACTATATCTGATTTAGGTTTGGATGTATATCGGAAGAAAAGGAATCAAGGTACAAAATGAGAGAGCCATTTTTAAATTAAAATCAAGAAAATACCACTTATTCATGACATTTTGAGGAACTTTGAAATTTCAGGGCTAAACCTGTAACGCTCGGAGGGTTAAATGATTTCATAATAAAATCAATTTTTTAAATGCAAAATTAAATTGTATTTTAATATTTAACAGACATAAATAATGTTTAAAACATCAGATTAAATTTACAGATATTTAAACCTTAAAGTAGGGTGACGTCATTGATTATATCACCACACAAAAATTATATAAAATATCATAAACAAAATTTTATTTCAAATAAAAATGCAAAATTATTGATTTTCAATATTTAAAAGCCATAAATAATATTTAAAACACGAATTTATGCATAATAAAACACATTATTTTTTAAATAAAATGATAAAGTATCGGTTACCATAAATAACTTGTCCAGCAATGGGTTTACCATAAGTCGTATCGCTCACCACAAAAAAAAATTCGCCAAAATCCAAGCAACCGTCTACCAAAGTAGCACCTCTAAAGTAATAATTACTTACTCACCCTGGAATGCAATGTGGTTCAGGTGTAAAATAAGAATGAGGATATTTATATTCTTCTACAACAGGCATGACGAAACAAATTTGGTGAATAATTTAGAGGCAGAGGGCACCTTCCGCTAGATTCTTTTTAGATCTGAGCTAACTGTAAGTTTCGCGATGATAGATTTTTTTTGAACTAAAAAAAGACCGAGAGGCAAAAAAAAAATTCTCGAGATCCGAAACGTGATTGTGACACGCTCATCGATTACATGAGCGAGTGTTAACACAGCACGCACAATAATATTGTTGGATATGGGCTATGTTTCTGAGCCATAAAAACTGATCGAGTTCTAATAGACACAATTAAAAGTAGCTTTTTAACATTTTCTCTCTCCCTCTTTTTTTTTTTTAACCTGGTTACAAAAAGTGCAGATGAAGTAAAAATAACTGATCTTTTCAAGTCAGTTTTCAAGTTTCATTTCATTACGAATCGTTAACTATAATACTTATAATCATGCAACGATTCGATTTCGCTTTTCCTCATCTTTTTGATGGAGTTTTCTACATCTTAGATTTTAAGGAGGCCGAAAAACCCATTTTCTAAAATTTGTTCATTTGTATGATGATAAATAGGGCCTTGTATGAAGTAGAATGCAATTCATACAGGGAAACTGCTGTAATATAATGTTAATAATGTATATTATGTAATATTAATAAACATGTAAGATTAATAAACTATATAATATTAATCAACGACTAGAACTGAAAATCCTGAATCTGAAATAAATTAAATTTTGTTCCTAGAAATCAAAACTTTTTTTAACGTAAAATTTACGATAAATGATACATTTTAAACAAATCCAACAAGAAGTGTCGAAAGTGGTATTTATAAATCACATGAATAAAAGTTACCGTTGATTCGGGAATGCGCATTCTTTTTTAAAACATTTAGTCTAAACATATCTAAAATTCGTTTTCTAATTTCTGATTGTATACTCTGATAACGCAGTGGATTTTTAATTTACATAAAAATAGTAAAACCCCGTACTTAACCAAAATGTGCTTAAGCGAAATCCCGCTTAACCGAAATGATGGAGAAAACTAGCATTGATTCACTTTACTTCCAAAATCAATAATCTCCGATTTTACTACTAAATGTTTTTCACGTTTTTGAAGTAAAAACATAGTTTACGATAACAACAAGTATCACGAAATTTCTTATGCAGAATTAGGAACTTTAATTCTCCTTTCGCCAAGATATGAATTGCATATATGCTGTTCATCAAACAATAATAAGAGATTTCTTTTCCTAAGCTTTGCAAAAAAGCAACTTCAAAGAAAGAACGACAAAAACGAATATCGTTTACTGAAAATATAACGTCAAGTCGGGCATGAAAATGATTCAAAGTACAGAGTGAATGCGCATGCATCTCAGCAGCATCCTTTTGTATCCAGCAGCAGCATTCATCATATGAGGCGTATTAGCCGAGGTTCGTTGAAAAGACAAACAAGCAGATTTTTAGTCGTCGAAGAGCCGGAAACTGACTTATAGAGGTCATTCTACATCGTCAGCAAACGGCACCACATAAGCTAAATACAGAGTTCCAACGGGGATTGATAATCAGCCTGTATGAAAGAGAATGTTTGTGCTGTTGCTCGTACATCATTTCCTTTTCACCTGCTTTCATATCTGCTTTAACAGGTTCTTGGACCACTTCATCTCTTTTTTATAGGATTTTTTGTCCGCTTTCTATGTTCTTTGAATGCAGCAAAGGCTCCCAACACCTGTCTTAGTTGCTCGCGATCGCTCTCCTCACGAGCATTCAGTCCCAATTCTGACAACAAAAATTGCACGGGTTCATAATGGATTGAATGCACCAAGAACCGGAGATAGCTTGATAAAATTTATTTTCACAAGAGACATGCTACAGAGTTCTGATACTTTCTACAAAAATATTTGTACTGCTCTTCTCGGCATGCCAGAGCACAATCAGTAGTTACCCCTTCACATTACTAAAAATGCTAAACACAGCACAATGCATAAAAGCATATAAAGAGCGAAACTCACAGGGAGATTTCTCAATACTCCGAAGTCAATTCTGAATTGAAAACTAAGCGCTGATGCTGTCCCCGATCTTATACTATAGCGGGACAATTTTAAAAATCGGCAGGACGCGGGACAATCCTCAAAAAATCGGGACGTGCGGTCACTTTATCATAGATCGCTTTGGGGTTAACACAGGGAAAATTGGTTTCCCATTACAAACAAGCTGATAGCTGATTGGTTGAAAACGAACAACTTGGAATTTTTTTGCTAAAGGAAGCAAAAAGTCGCACGTCTTTCTTTCAATAGTAAACCAGGCAGAAAAACAGTTGTTCGTGTGAAAAAAACGCCGTGTGATATGGGCTTGAATTTGTACAAGTAATGTTGATGACACATTACCTGGGGAAAAAAAAAAATACAATCAACTCCTCAAGCTACAATGGAAACAATGAAGTGAAGATCAACAGGTAATGTTTTCTTAAGAGTCTTTCTTTATTTGGACAGTCGCGTAGACCAGCGTTCCTCAATCTTTTCTCAAGTGAGAACTACTTTTAAAAAATAGAATGTTCTATTTTGATCATCTTACCCTTGTCCCATTCGAAAGCAATTTTTAGCAAATATTACTTACTTACATATTATTATTTTATACCCATATTATATTTTTAAGTGGAATTTATTAAAATCCACGCTATTTTATATTTGTATTAAGCAATTAAGTTAATAGAAGAAAATTTATATTCTTCTTTAATAATTCAAGGCTGTTAAAGAAAATAAATTTCAATTATAAAAAATGAAATGCGTAATAATATTTACATTATTCTTTCAGGATTATCTGTTTTATTTTAGTATTATGTTACATGCAAAGTATTTATATTCTATATGTAATTTAATACTGTAGTAAATATTTTGAAGTTGTAGCCTAATGTAGTAATAAAGTAGTTAAAGCCATTAATAGAAAGACAACATTATACCCGTCATCAAAAGTTATTTTTACGTTTTTTACTTCCTTGTACGAAGTAAAAAGGAAGTATTGTAATCGTGAAAAGTTTCAGCCAGCATATTTCAACGAAAATATCCATTTTGACAGCTATAGAATGCAATTTAACGATGTTTTTGCGTGATATCTGTACGTAAGGACAGAATAAAAGACTCGTTTCCTCGAAAAAATTATAAAACTGCTTTAAAATTAATTCTGAAGAGAATTTTTCGTGGCGTCTGTACGAACGTATGTACGTACGTATCTCGCATAACTCGAAAACGAGTAGCTGTAGAACTTTGAAATTTTGTATATAGAACTGCTATAACATGTAGATGTGCACCTCGTATTTTGGTTGCGATCAGCCGCACCAAACGTATATAAATACTATATTTACAGTATATATATATCCATTTTGTTACTCGGCACAGTGATCTCAGTTTCTTTACTCTTATATGTTTGTAAATTATACATTTTTTGCTTTAAAAATGCTTGAATTATATTGTTCTTATCTTCCGGTTAAGGTTTTTCTGCCTTTCGTAATTCTGGATACAATATTTGTACAATTATCAACAATTTAAAAGCTGTTTAAGTGCGGTTAAGTTTTAAATAACATGGCGGACATAGTTGTTTACATTTAAAACAGCAGAATTGTAGATTTGTTACCAATCTAGAGAGACTAAACTTCGCAACAACAAAAATAACGCCTTCATTTATTATTGCGAATTAAATCATGCTTAATCCTTTCTGGAATTTTTTCGAGCAAATAAGTATTTAAGATTTACTTCGTAATTTTTAATACAGATATTTTGAGTTTTTATGTATTTTTGCCTTGTCGCGAAGTGAGAACTGAGTTAATTGAATGAGAAATACTAAATCGTCTGTGAAAAACTGTTTCTTTTCTGTTTTGTTGCTTAATTTCGTTCATACATCGTTCTAGCTTTGTTATAGTATTTGAATAGAACATGCGCCAACGATAAGATAATTCTTCAAATGATATAAATTTTGTACATTCAGAGTGTCGTTATAGTAAACAATATAGTGAATTTTAAAGAGTGCGTTTATTCTATTGTGGTTTATGCGCTGTCGACGAAGTAGATGTAATTCAATCCAATCCATTTAAACGAAATTCAAGAAAAAAAATGCATATAATTTAATATTCCGTACAAGGAAGTCATGTGGTGTACACATCAGATTTTTTTACTTTATGTTCACGCAATTTACAATACTATATATGCAAATGGAAAAGTAATAATTGGTGTGATAGCAATATAATATGAAAAGTAAAACATTTAAAGGTAACACCATGCACACGCATACACTTTGTTCTAAACAAAATTGATTTTCCCGATTTTTGCTTCCTTATGCAAAGTAAAGGAAATTATAAAAGTAAAGTAATTGGCATCAATTATTGCAATCCACGAACCCGTAAAACGCAATAATTAGTGTCAATTATGGGGTTTGTCAGTGAATGTCAGTTACCCGCCTACCTAAAAATCATGGCGAAGGCAATTAAGGCTTTGATGGACTTGTTTAGCAGCTGTAAAAGCCGGACAAGAAGAGATGAAAGCTCGATAAAAAGAGATGAGAGCCCGGCAGGATTAGATCAAGGCAGGACAAGAAAATTTAGAGAGCGAAATGAAATCGTGTCAAGAAAAAATAAAAGCCGGACAAGAAAAGCTGCAAGAGAAACTCCAACAGATGGAAATTGAGCAAAACAAGATTAGAAGCAACGTCGTGAAGCTTAGAAAGGAAACTGCAGCTAAATTAGAAGACATGAAAGAGAATCTGACGAATCTTAGCCATAGACCGAGAACCATCCAGAAGAGTGAAGTGCTAGCAACATGCACTTCAGTCACGTACGTTTTACAAAGCCCCCACCTGCAATTCCGACCGAGGCAAATGGGAAATTAACGGAAGAACTCCTGCAGGGTGCAAACTTAAAAAAAGAACAAAAACATGCGACAGAGAAAACAATTAAAAAATTTGAAAATCTATTTTCTAGGACATCCAGACATGTAGGCCGTACATAACTAACATAATTAGATGATCCGTACATAACTAACATAACAACTAACATAGGCCGTACATAACTAACATAATCTGATTGA